TATTCCGGGGTAAAAATAAGTTTGGGTCAAACATATTGTACTCATTTCTTTTTCAATTCCTTTAAGTACTAAACACCATATAATCATTTTGCAATGCAGACGCGGTAGTTCTTCTGCCTTAGCGTCTTGGTCTGATTGCATTTCCATGAAGAAATGATAATAAATGTTCTTCCTTGAGCTGCGTCACCCCACTGCAGTTGGTGATGGACACATCCAAGGTCTTCCTACAAACAAGCGTCTGCTGGAAAAGAGTGGCTGAGTTGTGTAAAGTCTCGTTTGGCAAAGCTAAAAAAGATGTTTGGTGACTAGTCCCATGGCTGGATCCCTATATGTACTGTTAATGAAGCTAGGTGCTGTTCTGAGCATTATTTGTGGCTACAGAGTGGCATTTTGGTTGAGGTTTGTGTTTGGCTCCTTAGACTGCTGTGTATTGCTGTCATGCGGTTGTTACTAAAGTTGGTATAACTAGAGAAACAAGCGGTCGGCAACATTCATCTCTTGAGGGGGTGTCTAATTCTGTGTAACTGTGTGTTTGACCCTAAATTAATTTTATGCTGGAATATCCCTTTAAGTGTCCATCTGTATTACTGGCTTTAGAGGACTGACATCACACCCCTAAGAAGTTCAGTAGATCTGGTTTTGGTTTTGGTAACATTGTCTGTCATGAACACTTACATACAAATCAGCATGATAAGAAATAACTGCTGGGACAGAATTACTTGAGAAAAACCAATTTGGAGAGTATTTAACTTCTCTAGTATGAAATATGTTCAATCTATTACAATAGGAGAGACGGGCCTTTAGACCACTGCAGCTGGTTACCAGGGAGAACTCTTGAATCCTGACTTTACTCAGGATCACTGTTGTTCTTTTGATATTTTAGAAAGTTTACGGTCAGTAATCTCATTCACTTCTATATCATGCTATTTTGAGGAATCTAGAGTTTAGTGTCCAGCCCTAAATACCTGTCAGCACCTTTTTTCCTCTTTTTTATAACTGTCCTTTTATTTCAGGTTTCACCATTTTACACATTTGCACCTTTGAGACAGGAAATCACAGGTTCATTGCAACATTTCTCCTTTTCTAAGCACTCCAGCCTCTGACATGCACGCAACAATGCCAACTCTCAACACATACACACTCACACATGCATAGACAGGTGTGCATGGAGTCTGTTGAATGACGAACCGGGATGTGGATGAATGGGGTGGGGTGTGGGGGGTGCAGAGAGGTAGAAGTCAAGAAGGAAGGCAAAGGTGTGGAGGTGAAGACAAGCTGGACGTTTGGAAACAGACCGTCTTTGTGCCTGAGGCTTCCTCTATGGATGTGTGTGGCTGGGAAACTGCTCTGTCGGTGTGTGTGTGTGTGTGTGTGTGTACATGTGTGTTAGTGTGTGTCTGTTTCTGTGTGTGCAAATGAGTGGGGATGGTGAATGAGTCTCAGCCCCTCTGCTCTCATGGTCTCAGCTGTGTGTAATTGATTAAATGAATTAGTATGAAATATGGAATTAAACTACATCATATGGTACCTAGGTTTGGGCCATGGGGGGGAATCCATAATATGTGATTTGAATAAAATATGAATTGATCCGTGATGAATAGCACCATATGCACACATGTAATTGAATTAACCATTCTGTGTTCATAGAAATCAAACCTCCTCATAACCTTCATCCTCAAGAGAACTCACAGGCCGCTTCTTCCAGAGCATCTGTAATGCTGCTAAGATTTTTTATTTCTACATCCACAAAATAGCTTTAAAAAAAGTGTGCTGTTAAACAGGCACCTGAATTTAATAAATAGATTCAGACGTAAAACTGAAACTGCAAGCAGCATTGACCAGGCCCTTGCACCTTTGTGAACGCTTCTGTACGAGCCGCAGATCTTGTTTCTGCATTGATGTTTATTAAAAGGTGGTCAAAGTAGATTAATGTTTTGAGCATAGCAGAAAATGCAAGTAAACTTGTTTTGCACCCCGAAGCTCTAAGAAACCTTTTTTTAGCCACGATCAAACCTGTAGGAAACTATTGTTGGGTCTGCCATGCTGAAAACTCTCAATAATTGAATGAGAGAGGATTCAGAAGAGAGGAGGAAAACCAGAGGAGCAACATTTGAGGGCACACAAGAGCAGCCTTTATGGAGGTAATAATTGTCAAACTTGCCCCAAATTCAGTTTGAGTCAGTAGCCAAGTTTGCATGGGTAAAATTTCTTGATCCAATGAAAAATTTGAGGGATCAGAAAATCTGAATCCACTGATTATATGGGTGCAAAATCAAATAATCTGATCATGACGTGAGTATACGTGCATCAAGCTTTATTCAGATTAGAATCATTTGGACATGCACAGAGTTGTCTGATTGGCTAAAACAACCGCAGAAGAAGAAGAGTTGTATTTACGCCTGTGCTGTCAACAAACCAGCGCGGTAGTGGCTCACTCCATCCAATTCAGGAGTTTTCCCCTGTTAAATGTTTTTACTGTTCTGTCAAAGGTTGCACTGTGCGTGCAGATGTGACATCATTATGCTGTATGTACACCTTGTTATGTTACCGGAGGAGCAGACACGGCCCCTGAGATTGTGTTTTATGCCAGAGTGTTAATAATGAAACCTCCTGGACTGGCCTCAATAAATAAAGAGTGAAGACCGAGTCAGGTTAGAACGTCACGATCAGAGGTGTTTACATAGACACATTTCGGAACAACGATCGGCATAACCCCCCCGATCGGAATTGCATTTTCCGATTGAGCCAAATTGGACCAGAATCCGCCGATCTATGTGTTTAAATGACACATTTTATTCAGATCAGGCCTTTATTCCAATTATTTGTGCCCATGTAAACGCAGCCACTGATTGCAGTGATTTGACATTTTTTTACAAAAGCAGCAAAATGAAAAACACAATAAATCTGGTCAATCAAGTTTTATATATGGCCAAGTTTTAAAAGTTTTTTTCTCTAAAACTGCTTTACATACATCTTAGTTGAAGTGATACAGAACTATACAGTGTTATGCAATCAATTATTAGAGCAGTTCTTTAGTGTTTTTGACACTTTCTCCATAAACTGTTCAGACTAAGTAAACAAACATCTTAAATTCAACATTCATCTACATCTTCACTTTAACTGTCTTTAGAGGGAAAGGGTTGACTGTTTACCACAAATTTAAAACAACACAACATCTGATAAAATGTCCTGACTCATGGTCTCACACACACACACACACACACACACACACACACACACACACACACACACACACACACACACACACACACACACACACACACACACTTAGACTTATTTGTTGTGAGATCACAGGCTTCTGGCACAAACAGGAAACTAATATAATCTAATATCAGAGCCTGCTTGAGCTTCCACCATCATCTCCTCTGGACACTCTTTCTGTCAAACTTATACGTGTGTGTGTGTGTGTCTGCTTTGATATGTAGCTCAAAAAATCATCCACGTCATCTGTTTGCTGTTCAGCACCCAAACACAATGATATCCTTTAATTAAACACAGATATATTCACACATTAATGCATACACACAAACAGTCAGGCTAAGGTGGCACAACAGGCAGGGGGCAGAAGATTGCTGTCACTGCACAGACATACAGACAGGCAAGTAAAAGAAAACAAACTGAGCAAAGCATAGATATACACCTTTAATAATAAAAAAAAGTCACTAGAACTGTCTGTGCTTTTGCAGTTCCTATGAAGCTGTTCCAACCTCGTTTTATAAAGCCGACATGGGGCGTTTGGGTCAGGTTCAACTTCTGTGCAATAAAAAGTTAATAAAAAAATCAATGAAACAGGCTGCAGAGGGTTGGTGTAAAGTTATTCATTAATGAATTACAGTTAAAAAGGTGAAGAGAACAACAGCAAAGGCATGGCTCGTGTTGAAAATAGTGCGTGCAGTGTTCAGTGTCTTGGAGGCCAGAGGCTGTTTACACTGTCTGCTCACCTCCTACCTCCTGCAGATCTGACTGTTCAGATTTACGACTGTTACCGTGTGAACAGTTTTCTGTCTGTTTATGTCTGGACTGTTTTGTGTCACAGAGGCACACCTTGTTACATAGACTGGTATTTTGTTTCTGTTCCCCAGTTTGATCTTTTTTCCCTGTTAAGGTAGGAAGGATTCAGATTTTTCTCAGAAAAGGTTTTCTCAGAAAACTTTTGCACTGTTTCTGAAGCTTTTTTCACTACTTTTCTCTCGTTTTCTCTACTGCAAACACTGTGTTCAAACAATCCATCACACACAAATACTAATCCTATCAGGTTTGTGTATAAAAACAAGACTATAAAACATGGAGACATGTAGACAACAAATTAATCACAAGTTAAAGCTATACTGTGGAACACTGATTTATCCACAGACTGGACAAAACAAACGTTTAAGCTTCCTCATTTAATCCAACATAACATGTTTTTTTTGTTTCTGCACAGATTCTCATTTTTCTCAGTTTATCAAATAAAGAAAATCTCAGTGTGCAAATAAAAGTTCTTCATTTTTATTTAGACCCAATGGCTTACCACTTGAGACTGCTCTGGATGCCAAAAATGTGATATTATGTTCAAGAGGAGCAACAATAATGACTAATACTTTTCTGACTATGCGACTTTTATTCCAATTTTTTTCCATTTATTATATTAATTATAGTAACTACATGGAGACACTGATTTAAGAATGAGTAGACTTGCAGGAAAAAGTTGATTTTGTGGAAGTTTTGGTTGGTCTTGATCAGCCAAATAAAAAAATGTTGGCAGCACAACATCAGAAAGTCAGAATTGTCTTCAAAAGACAGTGATTTAATGGCAACTTACCAAGGTTTACTACTTTTAACTGCAGCCTCTTCATGAGTTTATGGACTGCTCCTCTTTCTCCATGTCTTTCTATGCCTCTGTGCTTGTGTGTGTATTAAAGAGAGAGAAAGAGAGAGAGAGAGAGAGAGAGAGATGGTGGGCGGGTTTTCCGCCAGCAGGGTTTGGTTGATTTTCTATTGATTTGTCGGAGGGATAGGGGAGGAGGAGGAGAAAGTGAAAGGGGAGGAGTGGAGGAGAAACCCCGGCCTGTTGGGGAAGAGGGAGATGTGATTGTGTGTGTTTGGGACGAGAAAGGAGAGTACAGAGTGATCACAAACGAGGCAAAAGTCCACGCGCGGGAGCAGCGCACTTCTCTCACGTGCTGGCGTGGATTCGTACCGGGAGAAAGTTAAACGCGTCGTCGGAGTGACTTCTGCTAAGACTTTGTTTTACCTCCTCTCTTTTGCCTTTGCTCCCCCTCCGCCCTGCATTCCGCGGAGCAGCTGTGTTTTAATGCCCCTGCGCACCCGAGGAGGAGAGCAGGGAGAGAAGAGTGAGGAAGAAGAAGAAGAAGAAGAAGAAGAAGAAGAAGAAGAGGAGGAGGAGAAAGAAGAAGAAGGAGAAGTGAGGAAGCCTGGACACCACCCCTCCTCGTCCTCTGGAGGTCTGTGCACTCTCCCCTCCTGGCCCTGCATGGACGGGGATGGGGAGAGCCGGATGCTGTTGCCGCGAGGCTGAGCGCCTCGCCTCCCCGTCTCTGGTGCGCCGCTTCCGGCCACTGCTGCTGCTGATCATCGCTCTCTGCTGCGGAGCACACATAGGTAACTAACAACACCTGAACACTGCAACAACAAGAGTGTCATAACAGCAACTAATCTGCACTTTTATATAGTCTACCGTCTAGTGGCGGACTAATTGAAGTACGCCACAAAAAAGTGCTTCACAGGAACAACATTTGCTGTCAGTTTTCAGATTGAATGTCATCAGAGCGACTTTCTATTAGCGTTTGTGATCATAGTTGGGCCGATCCTTGTGTTGGGCCCACTGCTGCCTGACAAAAGCTCTCTCTCCAGCGGCAGTGCAGCAGTCTGAGCACGGATCGAGTTTCTCCTCCTCTCTCCTGGGCCGTCATTCTCCTGTCTGCCCCTTAATGGCTCATGGAGGGGGGAAGAGAAGGCAAGAGAGGGCAACTACCTCTTCTCAGGTTCAAACAAAACAGAATACATCTTACTGAAAACACATTAGGAGCTCAAATCTGGCTGTGAAAAGTTAAAACCAGGGCTGATCAATGATTAAAATCTGACTGCTTCTTTTTGTGTACACTCAAGTGAAAGATAGTGGAAACCTTTAAAAGTGATCATTTTAAAGTTTATTTTTCTACCTAAATTATGAAACGGTTTAGAGAGCTAGAAAAGTGGTAGTTCAGGTTGAAAGTGGCGTCAAAATTAATAGCAGTATGGCACAGAAAACAGATCTACACTCAGTAGGAATGTGTTAGCTACAAGGTTTTCCTAGAAATGTTGACACTTGTTTTCAAAAAACTACTTTGATATCACCATTTCAAAATCAGATATACTACCCTCTAATTCTCTCATTTCAATATCAGTTTTATTCTGTGAGGTAAACCCACAGGTTCATGTTTCTGCACACTCTCCTCTCTCCAGAAGCCTGTGTCTGTGTGTTATGTTGTGTGCAGGGGGTCGGCTGTTGTGGCGGCTGTCTGTTGAGCAGTCACACCTCCGGTAATTAGTTTAACACGGCTCAGGCAGCAGGACAAAACGGCCCCGGCATGGTGGGAACAGAGAAAACCCACTCCACATTAAAGACCCTCTTGGCACCTTCTGCGTCCACGCGTCATGTGGAAAGAATGTGCATTATTGTCGTCTGTTTTGGCCAAACAGAAAGTTTTTATTTATTATAACTCGTACACTTCAAGGTGTTTTGACATATTGTGCGGCTTTGTGTGTCTGTTTGAATGGGGAGGGAGGAATGTCTGATTCGTGGACTATTGTTCGCTCACCTTACCGTCTAGTGTCGAGTGCATGCAGTAGTGAGCTTCTGTAAAGCTTTGTGTCTAAGCTTTGCAGGGCTGTTAGTGTGGTTTGAGCTCAGTTGTGAGTGAAAGAGAGAGAGAGTGCACACAACAAGGTGATCAATAAGCACTTCACAAGCCATTCCCTCAGTCTGAGAGATGATCCCAGTAGATCCTTGCTTGATCTCCTGAGATCAGAGAAGTTCTAGGGAGACAAAGAATCGAAGCCGCCCCAGAGCTTCAGCTGGGGGGATCTTTTGACCTCTGCCTGATGGGAGTGAGGGAGCCTGGGGATGTGATGAGGAGAAGTGACCAGGGAATCAGACCGAGAGGGCTGTGGGCTGAAAACACAACAGTCTTTGCTGTATCAAAATAGTGCTGATGGGAGGAAATGATTTGAGCCAGGAGGGAAAAAACAAGCTGTAAAAGAAAAACCGAGACCTGTGAGGTGATAAAAGCATGTGGAAGAGGGGGATGGAGAGAAAAGACAGGTTCAGATTGTGAAGGAGTGGTGGGTTTTATCATGTCTATATTGGAAACTCACCCGGGGGATGTAACAAGCCAGGCTGTGGGTGTGTTGAACGGCCGTGGTGTATTAGCTCCTCACATGAGGAGTTATTTCTTGTCTTCTTCGTGCCATTTTCAACTCAATTTGGTATTCATCTCAAGTCACCGCAAATTGCTTATTTATATGCATGGATTAGATTTTCTTTTGAAAGTACAGGTATAGAGAAAAGGCTTAGGAGAAAGGCTTCCTAAAGACGGGGATGACGAATAAGCCTTGAAGACTACGATTATTCTTTAAACTCTACTTTTTGCTTGATGCTTCACAGAAGTGGTCAGTTGTAGAGCTCCACTTTTGAAAATGTTAGGTCACTTGAGCAGACACTTGTTCTCAAGAAGGTTTCAACAGTTATTGCAAGTCAACGACGGTCTGGGCCCAGTCCTTCACTTCCAGGTTGAACTCCCTTCTCGCTACATTATCCATCACAGAGTGAGCGCTTTTGTGTGTTTTTTAAGCAGCTCATGATGCTGATACCCTTCGAAAGAGAATAAACCCACTCTTATTAGATTGGGAGCGGTATTTCGGTACTGCAGGGCAGATAGGAGGGAGAAAAAGAGGCTGCCGGAGCGCCAGTCAAAGACACAATGTGTCCTCAGTGCTCAGACTGTCTGTACAGCGGTGGCTGGCATGGCAGGCAGCCTGTGTGTGTATGCGCGTGTGTGCGTCTGTGGGTTGGTGTCAGTATTTAACAGGCAGGGGAGAGATTCTGAAATGTGGTGTGAGTGGGGGTCTATACCTGTACCCCTGTTCTTTAAAACTCAGAACACTACTGCCCCCAAATGGTGACACTAGAACCTGTTTTCCCCCCAAAATCAAAGAAATGTGTAAAGAAGAGCTTCAGTGTGCGCTGTGCGTGTGTTAGATAAAACTTATGGTTGTTAAGAGATGGTGTGACATGAAAAGAATCTGTTGATTTGGGTGAAAAACACGTTCACTCTGGTTTTGCGTTTGATCATCCCACCATCCAAAGATCACTGACTTTGTGAGTTAAACGGAAGCACGACTCGCATTCTTTCCAAGATAGCTATTTGTGTGTGTGTGTGTGTGTGTGTGTGTGTGTGTGTGTGCAGCTGCCCTTACACTGCAGAGCCCCTCTCTGGCTTAATCTAATAGGAGCATGCTGTGACTGATGCATTAGATCCACTCTCTAATCTCCCTCTCTCGTTCCGACTCTCCCTCTTTCTCTCTCTCTCTCTCTCTCTGAGGATCTGTGATATAAAAGACGTTTTTTTTTTAACCTTGTTGCATTCAATAGATGAAACATCAGGGATGATTTTAAGACCAAAAATGTGTTCCTAATTGGTATGAAGCACAGAAAAATCTGTCTTTTGGCTACAATTCAGCTGAAACTTCTCATGACAGACAAACTCCAAAGTGTTATTCACAAAAAATACTTTTTTGTTTGAAGGTTTTTGTGCCTAAACTACAAAATAAGCCCCCAAAATGACCACAGAGCTTTATTAAATGCCTCTCAAATGTACAGGGTATTTCAGTATGCACATCCCATCTTGTATTGTCTGTGTAATACTGTTTGTGTTTTGTGCTCCTGGGCTATACAGGCAGTATTATCTCCCTGTTTGTGGAAAAAAATCTGTCTTTATCTTCTACCTTTGGCTGCTCTTTGGTTTATTACACTTCAGGTTTATTACACTCACAGAGCAGCCGGCTGATTGATCAAGACTTTCATCCAGCAGTCGCTTCTTTTTTCCGACTTTATTAGCTTGGATTGTAACAGGCCGGTAGCTTTGAGTGTTTAAGTTCAAAGCTGTCTGAATGCAGTTTTTTTTAGTGCTTTCAGACCATCAATTATTAGTTAAACCCAAGCTTTTTATGAGGACAATATCTACGTTTTCAGACCTTCACTATCACTGTATTGACATCCTTTTACTTACTGTTTCTTCATCTACTTCTCTGTCTCTCCAGGTCAGTGCCAGGTTGTCACCCCTCAGTGTCGTATCCAAAAGTGCACTACTGACTTCGTCTCCCTCACCTCCCACCTGACCCCAGCAGTGGATGGCTTCCACACAGAGTTCTGCAAAGCTCTACGCGCATACTCGGCCTGCACCCAGAGGACTGCCAAGTCCTGCCGAGGTAACCTGGTCTTCCACTCAGCTGTGCTGGGCATCTCCGACCTTATGAGCCAGAGGAACTGCTCTAGAGATGGGCCTACGTCCTCCACGCATCCAGAGGTGGTGCACGAGCCCTGCAACTACCACAGCCGGACCCAGCACGCACATGCACACTCCCACACGCATGCACACGCGCACTCTAACAGTCATAATCACGGCCACGGCCACTCTCGGCCCGGGTACCTGTTCTGCGGGCTGTTTGGGGACCCCCACCTGAGGACATTCAAGGACAGCTTCCAGACCTGTAAAGTGGAGGGGGCGTGGCCTCTTATTGATAATGACTATCTGTCAGTGCAGGTCACTAATGTCCCTGTGGTTCCAGGCTCAAGTGCCACAGCGACCAATAAGGTGAGAGGAACAACTTTTTAAAAAGAGGCTTTCAGGTTCGGGGGAGTTTCTGATAGGTGATAGGAGATGATGCAATCTACTTAATTTATGTGGGGATGTTCAGACGAAACGATAAATTCTGCTTCTTTTCAAATAGAGTCTCGAACACTTTCTCTATTTCTCCTCTGTTTTTTGTCTTTCTTTCTGCTTCTCTCTGCCTCTTTTCTCTGTTGGCCTCATTGGTGCATGTTGTTGTGTGTCTGTCTCCTGTGACTGCAGCAGTGTTGGAAACTTAACTGGGTTAATGGCTGCATGCAGCCTGACCTCTAATAACATGGAATGATATGTGTGAAAGGACCCACTGTTTACTCAAGTGTGTGTTTGCAAGTCTTAGTCTGTGTGTGTGTGTGTGTGCGTGTGCGGCTCATAAATGGCCCTGCTTCCACTTATCTTAAAGCTCTAAGTGTGCTGAAGGTGTCTATCCTTGTATGACAATAAAGACGCACACATACGCAGAAACTTCATGGACATCAAATGGATGACGAACTGCACAAGGTGATCTTTGTGGTGTTAAAGGAGCTTTGTTGATGTTTCCCTGGATGATCTAGCCTCTTTCGCTCAGTCGATAGCTTTAATTATTAAAAACACATACACACCCATACAGACACTTAGTCATGCGCACACTCACACAAACATGCACACACACATTAAGCAAATAGGAGGTTTGCTACACTGTGGAGCTGAAGTTTTGACCTTGTGTCAGAGGTGGGGCAAGTTATTAGTCACGATTATTAGGGACACACACACACACACACACCACACACACACATGCACACACACACACATTAACAGCCCTCCAGGCTTAATGGCTTGCCAGGCCTCATTCCTCACGGCTGTCATGTGAACAAAGCAGCCATTCACCGGAACTATGATGCTAGTGCTAACCGTAATGCTCACACCACACCCTACATCCAGTGAGGCCTCCACACTCCACCAGAGCCCTCTGTGTTTTTATATGTGAAGATGTCTGCTGAGCTACTTTATTACAACTAGTTAAAGAGTAATTTAGTATCAAATGTAGTGTGTTGCCGATCAATATCGAAGTGTTTTTTAATATTTCTGAGTGTTTGTTTGTGTGACTGAGAGGGAGATCATGACTTAAGTCCGGGGTTGCAAACACAGATCAGATGATATCTCACTATCAAGTACTCTGGCGCTTTTTCTTCTTACTTATTTGGTCCATGCATGATATGGTCCATTTTATCAAGAAAACCATGATAAACAAAAAAATTTAACCAACATATGTGAAATAAACTGAATCCAAACAGAAGTGAGCAAGAAGCCTTCACAGATTTAAAAACAAATATCTTTAAAGAAAGTTTTAATAACGGCTGATGACTTTCATTGAAAAGGTAAACTTAGTGGACTTGCACCTTTCAGCTGTATAAAAACAGTTTGTTTCTGTGTTGTTGTTGTTTGTTTTTGTTGATGCTATTAAATGAACTAAACTGTGTTATCACCACAGCTAGCCTAATGCTCGCTTTCTCCCTCTCTGTAGATCACCATCATCTTTAAGCCGTACGAAGGCTGCACAGAGCAGAGGGTGTACCAAGCAGTCACAGACAGTCTCCCTGCCGCCTTCGATGATGGGACGATAAGCAGCGGAGACCCAATCCACACCTCGACTGGTGTAGAAGGTGCCACTGGTAAGGTCCGTGCTCTGTGGATCTCTGAGCGCAGCCCCGGACGCCACGTGGAGCTGCATGCCGGCTACATAGGTGTAACTGTGATCGTTCGCCAGCTGGGCCGCTACCTCACCCTGGCGGTGAGGATCCCAGAGGAGCTGGCTCAGGCCTATGATGCCACCCAAGACCTTCAGCTGTGTCTGAACGGCTGCCCCAGCGGAGAGCGAATTGACCAGGCTGGGCATCTTCCCCTTCCTCTCTCCCCACCTGCTCTAGGCCTGCAGCTTCAGCAGCTACGTCGGCCCAGCTTTGCCTCACAGACACAAGCATCACCTTATGTCTCTGCGCAGGTCTTTGGGGTGGAGGGAGCAAAGGAGCGCTGCAGGGAGCAGCTGGAGGTGCAGGACATTTACTTCCACTCCTGTGTGTTTGACCTTCTGACCACCGGAGATGCTAACTTCACTGTGGCTGCATACAGCGCCCAAAAGGACATGGAGAGTCTACACCCACACCAGGATAGATGGAGAATCTACCCCCCCAGATCTGCCATGTCCACCCTGTGCTCTTACTCTAAGCTTGTTGAACAGCTTGCTCTGCTCCTGCTATGTGCTATAAGCATGGCAGTAATGTCCGAGTAAGAGTGGGACTCTTTGTGTGTCCCTGCAAGCTTGTGGGCTTGTTTGTGTGTGTGCACTGTTAGCATGCACTGATTCCCACCTTCAGCGGAGAGGAAGCAGCCAGCTGGACTTTATTTTTTTTGGGAACTATAATTTTTGTAGAAGAGCTGGCAGAGTACCCCCGGCAGTCGCAGGAGATACCTGCAACACAGACTGCATCTTACTTGAGTGTGTCTTTATCAATGAAAAGGACTCCTGATAAGGACACACAGTCACCTGTGAAGGGTGTAGAAAGTGTGTAAATACACTCCGAACTGTAAATAGCTTGTCTGCAGTGCAAAGTGTAACGGCGTAGAGTTTTTTTGGTGTCATTTGATGTGACTTTCTTTGATACCTCAGACAGAGGATGTTTGTTTTAACAGAAGCACTTTATTTAGTTTTTTTTTATTTGACTTTTTTAACAAATCCACATCAGTGTTTCTTCCTCTCACTTACCTTCTCCACCAAATCCACCAAAATATTTACATGTAATGGCTTACATGTTTGAGCTCATGTATGGTTTTACTAGTGATATTTTCAAAGTAAAAGTCTGTCAAATCCAAGGAGCTGCCATATTTATTCAAACGTGTCAATCTTCCTGTAGCTGATGTGACTCAGCGTCTCATGTAATGTCAGTCAATGTGAGTTGTCCTCTTTTGAATGTATTATTAATTTTGTCAAAGCAAATGCCATTAGTACTACTGTTCCTGAATGAGTCTGTTTTTTTTCTCTCAGTCCTGGTTTCAAAGATGTTTGATCGAATGAGTGAATACGCGTGTGTGGCTGTGGCAGTGTTTTTTTTAGTTCACCTAAGAATCATGTTGTAGGTGTTCCCACCTTTTTTTTTTGCCAAGATGCTGTGTCAAAACAGGCAAAGTGTGTTCTTTTTTAATTTGAGCCAAAGAGAGAGTTAATTTATGGTTTTCTTGTACAAATCGATATAGAACTCACTGAGGAACCAGCATCCTCCTCCTCCTCTTCCTCTTCCTCACACTCTCTGTTTTTAAATATTTCTACTGTAGACGGTTTTATTTCTACTAGAGCCGCTCTTAACCGGGATACAGGAAAGACACAAGACATTGCAAAGTTGCAGTGTGGGAAATGTATGCCGTATGACATTTGATATCTTCCGGAGAAGCTAACCCTTAAGACTACGTACCTTTTATCAATTTGTATTAACATGCTCTGTTTGGTTGGCCACATGAGCTTGATCTCACTTTTGGCGTATTTTGAGTGTCAGTTTGGTGAACTGTGGCTGGTTGATGTTGAAATACTTAACTTATTTATGACTGTAGTGTCCTAGAGGAAGTGAAGCTTGTTGTTGTTGGAAAATAATTAAAAAAATGTCAGATGTGATTGTACTGCCACCTAGTGGTGCTCTGTTGCTATGTCTGTGTTACTCATGGCGCTCAAAAAATAAGAAAAAAATGGTGTGCAAGTGTTTTATTTAAAAAACAATAAAGTAAAAATGGTTCAAGCTTACTTTCTTTTTCTTTTTGACACATTCAAGCATTTTTTTTGTAAACTTTGTGAACTAAGTTTTCCCAAAATCCTCATAGAAATCCAAGTATGAACTCAGGGTAACAAACCAAGTCAAACACAGTTTGTCACAAACACATGCTCAGCAAAAAGTGTGTTAATCCACCTGTGTGAGGTTAACTATGATCAGATACAAGGTTTGCCCGCACAAACACAACCAGTTTCAACTGTCACTGCCTGCAAACACCTGCTGGGATGTCAGAGAAGGCGCGTCAAAGACTCACAGCACTGACGCTGGGCACTCCTGCAACCCAGACGTGGTTAATTTCCCATTTAATCCAAACAATTCCTGTCCGAAAGTCAATGCATGAATGTTTTTACAAAGTCATCCAGAGTCAGGTGGATGGTTTCAAACCACTGCAGAAATCCTTAGTGTGCAGACTGAAGACAAAAAAAAAGTTTCCCTCTTCACTGGGTTTGTTTCTTAGAAGATCACATGCTGCATCAGAAGCTCTCCATGTCCAAAAGTCTGAAAGTTCAAATTCAGTTGTCAAATACCTTTGAATTTTAACATAAAAGTTTGTCATTGTGATTAAGTTAACAATTGAGAAGAAGAAAATGAAATGACACAAACTCAGCCCAACAAAAAATGGATTCTTTTTTAACCTTGCGATTATCTATAAACTTCCTCGAAAATAACAGTATAGATGTCTGAAGTAATAAATCTACAATCACTGCATTTAAATAAAAATGTTTAGGAAATAAATGTTTGGTGTAAACTGTATTACACCTTTAACAACAGCTTGAGAGTAAATCAAATTAGTCTTAAAAATGTATGTCCTACCATTTGATAACAGCGTATATAGTTATCAAAGTGTTGAAGACGATGACCTTGATCAGAAGTAGCCTCAAACTCAAGACAACCACCGTGTTTGTCCACACAACAATATCTGGAATACAACACACAGAAAAGCATATGAAAAAAACTTGTGTATGAATTGAGATTTTTAATTTTCTTTTTGCAAATAATCAAATGTATTACCATCTGTGTTGTCCTCTTCATTGCAGGTCCTGTCCTGAAGCCCTGTTTAATGAAAGTTAAGCGGATATTAAACAGTCAGATGCTGTTGTACAAACTAACGAACACTGGAGACTGAAAACTAATTAGTGTGTTCTAGCAGCTACAGCTCAACCTGATCTGATGGAGTGGTGTCTCCGGATGACTTTTGGGCGCCGTTTTTGAGTCACGGAGCAGCTGTAGGATGGCCAGTCTCTGGTTGCCACGGTGATAACTGCCACAGGACTATGGACATGATGCTTATTAGTTACAGCGAGGCTGTATGGTGAGCTGGACATGTGATCCTCTGATGGTGACCTCCAGCTGACTTGAAGGTACCCTCTCCTAAAGTCAGTCACCATGCAGACCAGCAGCGTCCAACCAAGTCTCTCCCCTGACAGGTGGACCGGAGGAGCAAGGGATGCCAGGACATCACCCTCTACGCCTCCTGGAGGAAGGTCATTTAAAATGGATTACAGAGGGATACAATACAATAACAAACAATCTGATTTAATACTAACTTACATTCCACTACATTACAACACTGTACATCTGCAGCTGAAGTTTACATCTACTTCACAGCTTTTATTTTTGGTTTAGAAGATTTTTAATGTGGGTCAAGGTCTAAGTAAGGTCTTTCTTTCTTTCTTTCTTTTTTCTTTCTTTCATTCTTTCTTTCTTTCTTTCTTTCTTTCTTTCTTTCTTTCTTTCTTTCTTTCTACTCAGGACCTGGTCTATTGGGGTTGCATGTCACAAAAGCTGTGAAATCCCCCTTTGTTTGTATTTTGACAAATGAATAGAAGGTTTCACTCTGGGATCATCCAGTGTGGATCTGACAAATTTACGCAAACTGGTCCCAGATCAGGATCTGTTCATCTTGACCTTCCCTTAAACAGTCAAATCTGAAGCAGAAAATCGGGGGCTGAATTCGGCCTGTTAGAATACAATTTCATATGATGTAGTATGATATGACAGAGAACATCATGTTACCCGACATTATGTTATATTTGGTTATGCTATGTTACTTTTTCTTCCGCTTAAGTGTTAAGTTATGCACATTATATAATGTTATATCAAATTCTGTAACACAAGGCTACATTATGTTATGTTACATTAGGCGACATGGTGTCAAATTCAGTCACGTTAACTTACAGTTAGACTTTAGTTCTGCAAACAGTCAACTATTTTCACTCCAGTATTGATAAATGAAAGCATCCAAAACAAACAACAGTTTAACACAATTAGGATAGATATCAAGCTCTTCTTGGTGTATGTGTGTTCATGAATAAAAGGATTTCCCTTTTTCTTTACTGCACAACAGCCACCTAATAAACTCTCAATCGCGGCTAGTCTTAAAAAAAAGACTAAAAAAAGTCAATATTCATGATTTTTATTTGAAAGTCATCTCGAATCTTTTCAACTGTTAAATCAAAATAAACTACATGATTGTAGATAAGACATGAAGAGCTCTTACCTGTCCATAAATAGATGATAGGAAGGTAAAACAGTCCCCTGCTTGGCTCAGTCATGTCTGCTTCAGTTACAGTAGCTTCACTGATCACTTGTTACTGTGTGTCTGTGTGAGTGTGAGTCTGTGCACAGTGTGTTTATGACTGTTGAAAACGGGGGGGGGGGGGGGGGGGGGGGCATGCTGTTTGGCTTTGCCAGGAGCATTGCATTGTGGGTGATTAAACAGTCTCATAGTTGTGACCTTATACTGACAATAGACACCCCCCTGCCCACACACACATGCCCCCTAACCTGAACACACTCACTGAACACAGAGGAAGAGGAAGAAGAGAATAGAGAAGTAATGTGGAAAACAGAGAGAGAGTGAGGAGCCACTGGGACAACAGAAGACACACCTGTTCACTTCTGTTAGATCTGAGGTAAGAGAGAGATCATATCAACACACACAAACACACACACAAACACACACACACACACACACACACACTGAACGTTAGACAACATACTTGTAGGATGCACCTGAATGCAAGCACACACACAGACACGCACATGCGCGCACACACATTTCTATGGATACTTTTGTATTTCAGTATTAGGCATTTGTTAGGAGTCTTACATTAACCACAGTAACTGCATGAAGACACTAACATCTCCTTAGTGGCTGCAAAGACAGTAACAAAACTGGATTTACACCACCACTTTTTTTCTGGCATTTAAATTGTGTATATTGTAGAAAGTTTTATTTTTTCTTCTCCCTTTTTCCCTTTTAAATTTTTTTTTCTAAATTATTACATTTATTTAAGTTCTTAATATTAGGACCCTTATTGTTATAACTGCATTTTTGCACTCTTTGTCTTGTCTGTGATGCTGCTGTGACAAAAAAAATTTCCCCCATGGGGGATCAATAAAGGAATATTCTGTTCTATTCTATTCTAAAAGACACTTTTAAAAATTGTGATTAATTTAGTATATATATATATATATATATATATAGTATCAAATCAGGACAAAATTGACATGTGCTGCAATATGGTTCTTTCTCTTTAACACACCCTCAACTCTGCACACTACCATCTTGTCAGCTTTTGCAGTGGGCGGGAACTGAACTGAAAAGAAAGTGAAAGTTAAAAGGAAGGATGACAAAGCTGGAATGAACGAGGTAAAGCTCTTTGACTTCAGTGACTACTTTACTCTGATAAAACTTGACCTTCAAATCACATTCAAGAGAGTAATTGCTTTAACAACAGAATCAGTAAATCTACATATCAGTTAAACTTTGTTTTAGCTAATGCAATCCTCATCTTATGGCAGCATGGCAGCTCAGAACCAGAGCTGCATGTGAAGTCGGATTTGAACAGCAGCTCTGCTCCTGACCTACAGCTGTTGTCACCTCTCAGTTATAGTCGTGTCCTCATCTTGTTTTGTCCGCATGGAAAATCATGTGGCACGTTTGTCACATGTTTCAGTCTCCCTCAGGCTGAGATGTGGTGTTGTTTAGGCTAAAACTTGAACACAGCTCATTCAACACTGTATTTGTGTAATATGGAGGTCAAAAGGGGTCACACTTTTTATTGAAAGACCTTTACTCTATCATTGAAGAAGATAGAGTTTGTTTGATGTAAGAGTAATTTAGTCCAGCAAGTAATCTGCAAAATTACAACCCTAAACCTGACTGGGTTAGGAGGGAAGACATGTCATAGCGAACACCGCTGATCTCTTAAATTTTTGTCTTTCAGATAAAAAGTTCCTGAGACACTTTTCTCAAGCCATTTTTAGATGGTTTGAGATTTAGGGCAGAATTCAACACATATCAGGGGGTCCCTCATCACCCAAGTTTGAGATGTGACTGAGTTCAACTCCAGCTTTTTTCTTTTTAAGTACTTGAAGAACTTTTCCTCAAAAATGGTCTTGTTAAGGATTCTAGTGCTGTCTTTACTCTACCTGACTCATGTGGGGTCTCAGTCTGCTTTCAAACAAACAACCCCTCCTCACTCAGAGGGAGAACAGCCTCCCGTGGATGCTAATAATCTGTCTTTTCCATGGAGTCGACTCCGCCTGCCAAGGTATTTATAACCTCAGTGGAGTTAACCTGAAAATTTCTGGATTTCATTTTGGACAACAGTTTGTGATAGTCTCTTTATATTTTTCTTTACCAAAGGTACATCGTTCCTCTCCATTACCACATCCTCCTGCACCCAGACCTCACCAGTCTTCATTTCACTGGCTCAGTGCAGATCCAGATTGATGTCCAGAACAACACAAACTGGGTTGTACTTCACAGCAAAGGTCTGAACATCACCAGGGCCACAGTGTTAGACCAGAACTTGAATCATCTGTCTGAACAGGTAGCTCTAGATCTTTATTATCTATTCCTGTACCTCAGATCTCACCCAACCTTTGCCCATGTTTTCATTTAGTTTTCATGACTAGAAAAGAAAACTAAAGGTGTTTGAATATATATCTGCTTTTTTCTCTTCATAGGTTCTTCCAGTTCTTCATAACCCCTCTCATGAGCAGATCGGTATTTTCTCACCGAGGGTGCTCACTACTGGGCAAAAGTACTTCCTCCATATTGAATTTGAGGCAGAACTATCTGAGAGCTTCCATGGTTTTTATAAGAGCACCTACAGAACCAGCACCGGAGAGACCAGGTAAGAGCAGATACACTGATAGATGCCAGTCAGAGTAAATGGCTCCTCACATCCCGAGTATGTAAATTTAAACTTATCTTCTCGCTTTTCAAGAGCTTTGGCATCAACTCACTTTGAACCCACGAGCACTCGGATGGCTTTCCCATGTTTCGATGAGCCGAACTTTAAAGCGATCTTCTCCGTCCGGATTAGGAGGAGTCCAGAGTTTATAGCTCTGTCCAACATGCCTGTGGTGAGTGATGCATTGTGTTCCCTGTAACACTATTGTATGTGACCCTTTCTTATGTAAGTCAGAACCAAATATAGTCATTTGTTTTTTTTTATTACAGGTAAAGACTGTTAAAGTAAATGATGACCTGCTTGAGGACCAGTTTGATGCAAGTGTCAAGATGAGCACTTACCTTGTAGCTTTTGTGATCTGTGACTTTAAATCTGTCACTGCAACAACATCCTCTGGGGTGCAGGTATGTGGTCTGAGTTATTATTATCTTTTGTTTTAGTCCTTATTTTCTTAAATCCGTTTCACTAGAAATATTTTTGGAAAGGTTTTCATGTGTCTCTGTGAATCTTAGGTGTCTGTCTATGCTGCTCCTGAGAAAATTGAACAAACGCACTATGCTCTGGAGGTTGCTGTTAAAATGCTCGACTTCTATGAGGAGTATTTCAACTCTAATTATCCTCTACCCAAACAAGGTACATGTTGACACACATTGCTGTCTCCAACCCTCTTAAGCACTCCTTGACCATTTATTTATCTATTTATTTGCCTTCTCTCAGACCTGATAGCCATACCAGACTTTGAGTCAGGTGCAATGGAGAACTGGGGTTTGACCACATACAGAGAGACCAGCCTTCTTTTTGATCCCCACACATCCTCCATTTCTGACAAACTCTGGGTTACTATGGTGATTGGCCATGAGCTCGCCCATCAGGTGAGAGTGGGATTAAATGTTTATTTTTAGTTTCAGCAGTTCATTTGTTCGAGGACGTCCCAGACAGAGTGAAGAATTAAAAACTTGTCTCTCCTGCAGTGGTTTGGCAACTTGGTGACCATGGAGTGGTGGAATGATATCTGGCTGAATGAAGGATTTGCCAGATACATGGAGTACATTTCAGTTGAGGCCACTTACCCAGACCTGAAAGTGGTAGGTGCTTTATTTGAGATGAGAAATGACTGGGAGAAACAGGTTTTGGGATTAAATAAAGCCTTGGAGAGAGCACTGATAACCCCAGTCTGTGTTTTTCCTTGCAGGAGGAATATTTATTGCACACCTGCTTTGCAGCAGTTAGTCTTGATTCATTGAACTCGTCACGGCCAATATCGAGCCCAGCAGAGAACCCAACTCAGATCAAAGAGATGTTTGACACTGTCTCCTATGACAAAGTATGCATTCAGTTCTGAAAATGTTTTTTTTCCTCAGTCAAAGTAGCCATTTGTTATAAGTTTACATCTTTATAATGACTGATTTTAACATACTCGAAATAGCTAAAAATCAGCCGCTATTCACTAAGAGGTGCAAGTGAACTCATTTCTACAGTATGTTTAAGAAAGAAAAATCTACTTTCGTATTTATAAATAACAACATTTGAAATTCTCTGACAAAATCTTGCAGCACAATCTGTCATGGTCTATGTACTGAACACACTGTTTCTCTCTTCCTGTCCAGGGAGCATGTGTTCTGCACATGCTTCGACATTTTCTGACAGATGAAGTGTTCCAGAGCGGGATAGTGCGATACCTCCGCAAATACAGCTACAAAAATGCACACAACCAGGACCTGTGGGACAGTCTAGCCAATGTAAAAACTCAAACTACGTCACTGCACAGGCCTTTGATATCTTGTTGTGTTTTTGACGTGTTTTCTCCCCTAGACAACAGTGATTTTTTTAGTCTGGTGCACAAATCAACAAGAATGGAAAGTATCTTGAAGCATGTTTTTCTTCAAAGTGAACATTTCTGTTGTTATTATCACTATCAAAGGTTTGTCATCATGAGTCCAGTAATGATGTTGGTGTTAATTTTGTTTTAACAATAACATCTCATTGACGAAGATTAAAGACATCAAGGATATGATGAATTACTAGTGTTAGATTTATTCTCTTGATGCACAAAATTAAACTGAAACCAACAGCTGTTCGGAATGAAGAAAATCATAGTCAGGATGTCGGTTTGGCCCACGTGCCCTCATGCACAGAGGCTATCATTCTCTAGCGATAGGCTTAGTTACAGTTCAGGCCTGCATCCCCTTTTCCACATATCACGCTTCAATCTCTCCCAGTTTCCTGCTCTTCCCATTGTCCTGTATTCTTAGAATTAAGACACAAAAGCCCATAAATCTGTCTTAATAACAAAGGTAGAAAATCACTGTATTGTTATTTTTTTTGAATGCCTTTATGTACGGTTGTCACGCTCAATGTAAAGAAACAGTAGCCATCAAAATAAGTCTGTTCTTGCAAAATAAGTTTCATTAGTAAAATCTTCTTTTCTCAGACTTGTTCAGAGGAGGACTTCATCTCAGGAAAACACTGTTACAGCAGTAACCAGGCCTCCAAGAATGCAGTGAGTAAACAACAAATATCCCCTTTTCTAGTGGTTCATTTCACACCATGTTCTTGACTATGTTCTGACTTTGTGATTTAGTATAGTCTTGAGTTGATCTCTGATTCTCTTCCACAGTACCTGTTTGCAGGGGAACATCTGGACCTGACAGCCATCATGAATACGTGGACTCTGCAGAAAGGGATCCCTCTTGTGTTAGTGCAGAGGAAAGGCTCTCGTCTTCTGCTCAGACAGGAGAGGTTTCTAAGGACTGTGCTGCCCTCTGACCCACTGTGGTCAGCAATGCAGCAGGGGTGAGCATGCGTATTCCTACTGCAATTTAATTTAAAATTAGTTGCCGGACATTTTTTATTTTTGTTTTTCAGAAGTTAAACTTACTTCTCCTCTATAGCTTTCTTTGGCATATCCCTTTGACATACAAGACAGGTGCCTCCAGCACCATCCACAGACACCTGATGACAACACAAAGAGGTAACATTAAAGAGCTAAATGCAACATCAATAGAATTGATAAGTATCTTTTATATTAATTTTAGTCACCTCGTATTTTTTTGTGTATCTCATTTAGACAGTATAGATTTAGGGGAGGAAGTCAACTGGGTGAAAGTCAACAGTGACATGACAGGATATTATGTGGTTCATTACGAGGATGATGGTTGGGATGAGATGACAAACCTGCTGAGGAAGAACCACACAGCGCTTAGCTACAAAGACAGGACTCAGCTGATTCATAATGCTTTTCAGCTAGTGACGTAAGTATATCTGTGTGTGTTTTTTCTCTGTGTGAGAACAAGAAAGTATCATGCTTTTGTCAGTGTATACACGAGGAGCGTAAATGGCGAGGTAACTCTAAATTACATACCTGTTACAAAGCCTACAATGATGATAATGCCATGTTACAGTGACTCTGCAATAATCCAAAAATTGTAAGACAATCATGTAATGGTTTATCACAACATCTGATAAACTACAGAATACAGAATAATCCTTTAGGTAAAAAGGAGGATTAATGTCATGAGAACACTGTCAGGGATCATGTAGCAGTGATGCAGTTAGAGTCCTATTTTATTTTTACGTTGAAATGTCAATATTTGGTGTTAGCAGTGCAATAGTTGTGTTACACAAGCCTGGTCTGTAGTATAAAGAAAACTCAGAAAAGTGCCGTATTGATTTATTTTCTAACTCCTTGTTTTCATAACAGACAAATCAATACCAAACAAATCATATCCAGAAAAAAAGCCTTGTTTCTCCTCTGAGAATATTGCGCTTTACCTTGCAAATGTTTATGTTTTCCTCTAAAGAGCAGGACTTTTGCCGCTGAATAAAGCCTTAGACCTGATTGGTTACCAGAAGTTGGAGACCCACACTGTCCCTCTGCTTGAAGGACTGGGCTATCTGGAAGTATTTTACCGAATGGTTGAGAAAATGGACGAGATTGATCTAACAAGGAACATGAGGGTGAGAAGATATGAGAAAACCATTAGACTAATATATACACATGGTTAAGTCAAGCCAGCATAAGTTCATGTGAGGTGCTGTTTGCTTTATTGCAGATGTACATCCTGCAATTTTTCCGTGATGTCATTGACCAGCAGACATGGAGCGACAGCGGCTCTGTGTCTGAGCGACGGCTGAGGTCAGAGGTCTTGTCGCTGGCCTGCCACCTTGATGACCCTCCCTGTGTGGACCGAGCACGTCAGAGCTTCAATGACTGGCTTCAGTCCAGTGGTAAACTCAAGTATGTCACTCTAGAGTCTGTTTAACCACATATCATCTTCAGTCAGCAACTGCTGATATGATTCACAGAAACAGCAGCTATTCCCTGTACCAGACTGGACCATAAAATTAGATATTTCATCACATCTCTGCTTGTGTTTACCTCAGCCTGCCCACTGATGTGGCAAAGACAGTGTATTCAGTAGGAGCACAGGATGACCACGGCTGGGCCTCACTCCTACACACATACAACATCTCCCTGTCTGCAGCTCAGAAAAGCAAGGTTCTGTCTGCTTTGACCCGCAGCAAAGACACAAACAAACTTCACAGGTACATCTTCTCCACTTTATGTTTTCACACAGGTAATACTGCCACTGTGTGGTAAACATGTGTACTGCTACCAACAGATACTTAAGGATATGTACTTTGGACATGTCAGAAAGTTTTGGGTGAAGGCATTGATACCAATGGCAGATTATTTGGTATTTGAAAGTCTGGCTAGTTCTTACAGTGTTTGTGTTGCAGACTGCTGGAGATGGGTCTGGAGGGGAAAGTGATTCGATCGCAGGACCTGTCCCATCTCATTCTAATGGTGGCCAGGAACCCGCGGGGACACCACCTCGCCTGGAACTTTGTCAAGAAGAACTGGCACACACTGGTTCAAAAGTAAGTACAACATATAAGAAACAATGTGAACAAGAGGGCTCTCGCAGCTGCTTAGCAGCTACGCTCGGGCCCTAATGATGAAACACAAGTCGAACCATGAGCCATAGTCCTGAGTGACTCTTGAAACATTTATAGCCGTACAAGATATCTGAGGAAGTATATGTTTGCTCACTACAAGCTTTTCCTCTGAGTCCAGAAGGGCTTTGTGTAAACCAGGAAGTTCTGTGTCGGAAGAGGCTCTAGTAACAAGTGAAACAGGTTTTTGGTTTGATGAAGACCTGATTATATTGTACTTCAGCCAACACTCTGTGCAGTTGGTTGTGCAACAATAAAATGAAATAATACTTTGTGCCAAAGTCCTCTTTCCTGTATGTGTGCTCTGCAGGTTCCAGTTGGGCTCATCTTTTATCAGAAACATCCTCATTGGCACAACAGGCCAGTTCTCATCTCCTGAAGATCTTGCTGATGTAAATATGCTCTTATGAATGTATACAGAAAGAGACTGGCATGTTTCAATAATAAGATTTTAGAATTTTCTGTGATTTTTTTTATTTTAACATTTGTTGGTGTTTTTTTTGCGTTGTTTTTTTACTTTTATGTGTCTTTGACTCTCAGGTGCAGCTGTTTTTTGAGTCCGTCAAGGAGCAGGTGTCTCAGCTCAGAGCGACCGAGATTGCCCTGGACAATGTGCAGAAAAATGTCCGCTGGGTTCAGAGGAACCTGGAGACTCTCAGACTTTGGGTGAATGAGCAGATGGAGTGAAGGACAGCGGAAACAGAGGAGGTGTTTTATAGGGCAGTCTACTCAAACCACCTCTCTGCAACTCCAGAGTGGTACTGATGTCTATTTTTTAAATAAATGAAAGAAACATTTCTCTAAACATCTTCAACAGTGATGCATTGTGATCATAATGTCCTTAAAAAACATTGACTCCATATACTGTACAGCGGTTGGATAAGTTTGTACATTTTTGAGGATTTTAAAATGTACTGTTCCAATTATACAATTGAGGAGTTGGCAATTTGTGTACAAGAAGCATCATTATATTTGTAGGGGACTTATTTGTGAGACAAGAGATAATTTTAAATGGTAGAGCAGGCAGCTGAGTGTGAAAATGTGTGGGGATTTTTTTTATATTGTTCAAAATTTTGTTAAAACTTGTGCTTTGGGATTGCTATTTTTTAATACAGATCAACTTGAACTGTAATTTTTTGCAGAACTGTTTATATGAAACTTCTGCCCAGAACACCATTCAATTAAATCGCTTTGGTAAAAAGATCCATTCCCAAGAGATGCAGATTTTTTGTAAAATGGATAATAAAACTGACCAATAAAGGAAAACACTGGGCATTGTGGCACCTATTTATGTATTGCGCTGAAAACATATCTTATATTAGCAACTATTAGGCCTGGTTTGTGTTTGTTTAGGTTGACTTGCCGTTGATTTCATTATTTTTTCCAGACTTGATGTTGATTTTGGGCAGCTCAAGGTTAGTGCAGAGATTTAACACAACAAAAGCCATTTGTCATGGTTGATGACAAGAAATAAATGTTAATGATGTGTTCTCGAGAAGTACAGACAAAAAAATGTACATTTGTATTCCTCATTCTACAATGATGCACAGTTTAAACTTATTAAAGTGGTGAAGGCAATGCTGTAAATAGTTCACAATTGTGCAAAACATTGATGACTTAGACGAGAAACAACTTCTTTGTAGAAATAGGAGTTTTCCCTGTTCTATTGCAGATATCTAAAATATTATATAATAATATAATGATAAGAATAACACCGTGGATACACAAAATGATAGGAGTGAAGAGTAAATATACCATTGTGGGAACTTTATGTGGGCTACGTTCCGTTAAATATATTAAAATGTAACTTAATAGGACTATGTTTATTGTGACACTGAAGTACAATGTCCTCGCAAGACTGGCAAAAACCATGCACTAGCGTCATAGTGCCGTGGCCCCGCCCTCTGGTCTATCAGCCAATAGGATTTCAGTATTGTAATTTCATGGGAAGTTGTCAACAACTGGTTGGGGAGGAAGTAAAGTGTCATTTGGACCTTCGTGAGTTTGTCGAGCATGTTAGGACAAAAACTGTTTTCACATTTTTAATCTTGCGTTGGATTTTATCACAGTTAAACCGGATTGACCTTTTAGTCAGTAAAACAACATGGGCGACGAAGTAATTGAGATGAGCTAATGTTAGCTAACTGAATTTCTTTCAGTCAGTTGAGATAGTCAGAAGTTGGAGCTAGCCTCTCCGCAGCTATCGTCCGTACAGTGAAGATAGACTATTATTTAGTGTGTCCGAGAGCCTGCGGTTTGTTGTGACCGGGGAGTCAATACATCACGTCAGCCGAGCCGCTTTGAGACGTTTCCTTGTTTTGGACGGAAGCGGCTGTCGAGAGATCAAACCATGGATCCTTTTGACAACCACAGCGCAGGTAAGAGAGAGAGAGAGAGGGAGAGAGAGAGCAGGATTATAACCACAGATAGATGAAGAGAAAGCTAACAGGCCAGCTAAGAACTAACGGGACAAGAGCAGCGGCGAGCTCACCCAGAGTGACATTCACCCGAGGACATGTGTTCAGAGGGGTGGGCTTGACTTTTAACAAGCGAAGCGAAGGTCCAGCAGGAACTTTAGTGGTTTCTGTTTTACTGTTGAGGTACTCTCAGTATCAGATCACTTCACTGTCCTGCAACAAGACGATTACATTTCCTGCACAAAACTGAGACCCCACTCAAAGCCCAGAATCATCTGCTGAGAATCTTGTTTATTCATAGATTTTAATTGAATAGTGTATAGGGGAGAGTGGGGTAAGATGAGCCATTTTTCATATTACAGATCACTACATCAAGGCAGTCATATTTTTGTATCTAACTAGTGTATCTGTGTATATATCAAGATGTTGTACATCCCTGCAAACCAACAGAATGGTACACTAATTCTTTTTATTATAATTTCATATAACTGCTAAAAAGCTGTTTTGTAAAAAGCCATTTTAACATGAGAATGCTTTTAAGTGATTCAGAACATTCACAGCTGTGTTTTTGAAAAGAAAAAGTAACACATCTCAACAATCTGAACTGAAACTCTGATCCTCTCATCAGACTCCTTTACTTTCTCGGTTGAACCACTGGCTCAACTCCCCCCAGAACTACTATGATGACTTTATTAGTCCTTTAAGCTAAAATGGGGGACTTTCATGTTAGGTTTTTGATCTGATGTTGTAGCTCCTAGATACCACAATTGATGTATAAAACAAATTTAAAATGATCTTTTTTGGTCTGAACACAATTCTAATAAAACTTATGACAGACTGAATTCACTTTCAAGAGTGCAAAATGTTTTTTTTTTTTTGGAAATAAATGTCTAACCCCTTCACCCATGTGCCTCTAACCTTCAAAGCTCAATGAATTGATGTCCATCTCCTAAATATTTGGTCACATGATCATTTCCTTTTACCATTTCCAAGCAACAGGGGGTGGCTCAACTTAAACTTTGGCTCAACTTACCCCACTCTCCCCTACTCTCAGTATCAGATCAGTTCACTGTCCTGCACAGAGACGATTACATTTCCTGCACAAAACTGAGCCCCCTCTCAAAGCCCAGAATCATCTGCTGAGAATCTTCTTTATTCATAGATTTAATTCGAATAGAGTATACCCCAAGCACATTTCTAACAACCTTGAAAGATAAAAGTCTGCCTCTTAAAGGCTTAAATTTGTCTAACGTGACAGCCCAGTGTAAGCCCCCTGGTTTGGCTGTGGCTGTGTTTTGTCTTTGTGCAGAGAGCTGATAAGTAAGCTCATCTCAAGCAGCCAGCTGCTTTATTGCCTCTGCTCTGGTCCCAGGGTGTCAAAAGCTTTATTGGACAAACAACAACAACGACGACAAACACTGGAGAATCTATATAACAAGCTTTAGCTATATAACAGCAGGAAAACTGAATGTTCTCTCCAGGTACTTTTAGATTAGGCTATTTTTTTAAACATGGAGACAGCATCCAGCACATAACTTTGACTACCTGTTTGAGCATGTCTCATTGTTGTTTTTGAATGATTTTTGGAGTAAATCACTAAGCCATCTATTGAAACCATTGTGTTTGGATAAAAATGAAAAGGGGAAAAAAAGTGCTCACATTGTATGAAGTGCATTGCTTTTAAAAAACTGTAATTTTTTACTCTTTTGAGGGGTTGATATGTGTTTTGAGTAAACAGAGAAGCTAAAGATAACTGCTGTATTTACACACAAGCACAAAGAAGCTATAGGAGGTGTTGTTCGTTCACATTTACCTGGTATGTTTGAAACTGTAGATCCGTAAAAACCATCACTCTGTCACCATCCTCGTCTGTTGTCCTGCTTAAATGAAATAAACTTCACCAAAATATCATAAGTTTAATACAGCTCTCAGAGTATGTCACCTACCCTTCATCTTGTTTAGTATGTCTTTTATCCATCTTATTTTTATCAAATTCTGCTCTGCACATTTTACATTACCTACTACTTAGCTCTCACCCTATTAATAGACTGTCATACCAGGGCAATGACCGAGACACAGCCCATACAGTGCTATCAGAAACACTGTACAGGACAGACAAGGGGGGAATAAAAATCACCTTTCTGGGTATTTCTTTCTTCAGGGAAGCTAAAGGTTGCCTTTGTTTTGGGACATTGTCTCTGAGCGAACACTGTCTATGTCAATTCTTTCACAGCTTTCCACTTACACCCATCAACTGACACTGACAGTGTATTGTCTATTGCCTGTAAAAGCATGAATGCAATGCGAGCCCAACAAGAGACGTGCATTGCAGGTCATTTTACTACTTCCATTATTCAGTTAAACTGCTAAACATGCTCCGCATTGTCTCAAGAAATGCTGAATGAAGTATCCTGCTCATTGACAGTGAGAGACTCTGTTTATGGTGCTGAAGACACAGTTTTTGTTTGCTTGTTTTTTGAGAAATTTGTATGTTTTTATATGCTGCAGTAGCATCAAACATTTAAGGCCAGATTATGAGTACTGTTTTTCTTTTGATTGGGTGTGTGGACTTGGTAACTTGTGTAGGGTATACAGCTATTTCTGTCTTTTTTTTTCTGTCAGAATTTGTAATACCAGGGCTCAAAGAAGCTGTTCCCCCATCCTGTTGAACTGATTCTAAGTAGGTCAAAGCACCAGAGAAATCTGAGATTTACTAACAGGAAAATGAAGATACTCTGTGACTACTCTGTTGAACAAGGCTACAGGTTGCCTGTGTGTGCCTCTGGGTGAAAAATTAAAGCTTGTTGGTTTCACTGCTTTGAAATCTTAAAAAACAAACAAACACATATTTGCAAAAAAATATCGTGCAGAGATTGCCAATGTATGATCTTGTTTTGTTTGTGTGTTTTTTTATCTTCCTGTCTTATCTCTTTCATTTCTTCTTTTGAGAAGATGTTGTCTGATTTCACTTCCTCTGTGTTGTAGAGCGAGCCAACCTGCCGAGGAACATGATTGAGAACAGCATGTTTGAAGAGGAGCCTGATGTCGTGGATCTGGCTAAAGACTCCTCTGCTTTTCCGGTATGCTCATGTTAAGTTATCTTACTGTGGGCATGCTGTGCACGTCTTCATTTCAAGGACCAGTCTGGTTTGATATCTTGCATGAATCAGAATGCAGATTTGCAGCAGTCTGCACACATCCTACAACTGCTTTCATCTTCAAGACCAGTAATTTTAAGCAGATCAGAGCCTTGTACCTAAATAAACTTCAGTTGATTAGAGGTTGACTCACTAGTTTGGTTAGTATTTCATGCTTAACTGCATGCTCATTGGTCTGTATATAAAAAAATATATCTATCATCTTTTGCTGTCTGTAGACATGGAGGGAAAGAACTTTGAGTGAAAAAAAATCTGTGCATGAAGATAACACTGGTTGGTTTATATGTTACAGTATTAATATTCTACTCTTCAGAGCCACCCTGACCCACTTTCTTATCCAGCTTCTGTTGAAAATCCATACTGTGCCATAAATCCTCATAAAAAAGGTCTACGGGATATTAAGTTTCCCTCTCAGTCACTACTTCCTCTATCCTTTCTGCCATTATTTTTCTAATTTAACTGTTATCTCAGTGCTGGTCTTTGTTTACATCTTGTCCCTGGCCTCATTATTTTCCCTGATTGCTGCCTCTGTTCCTGCTGCAGAGGCAGCATCTCCACACATCTAACCCAATGCTAATGAACTAACCTGTGAGGGCGATCAAGTTATTATCATTATAAAGGACACACTGCATGCCTGCACTGAAAACGAACAGAAAACACTGTACATGTTCCCTCTAGACGTTTCCTGCTCTTGACCCAGATGAAGTGGCATATGAGCCCCGCAGCTCACGGTTGCTTGTGCGTGGCCTGGGAGAGAATGACATGGACGAGGATGAGGAGGACTGCGAGTCCTCGGCCCGTTTGCTGGGAATGTCCTTCATGAACCGGAGCTCAGCGCACAGATCTAACTCCTCCCCTTACACGAGACAAGCTCCTCCCAGGTAATTCACTGAAAAAGAGATTGTTTTTGACAGTTTTTCTGCATTTTGGGATTCCGTCCCAAATCAGTGCTATAGAATTATTTAATATTTTTAATATGAACACGGTCAGAAGAGATACATGTGTGGATTTTAGATTAGTTTCATGTCTTCCATGTCCTCATATTTAGCAAATATCCATAAACAATCACAAAACGACCTGTAGTGGTGATGTTGAACCCCTTAGACTTACTCAGAAGTATTTCTTGTCAATCATATAGTATGTGTCTCCAAAGTCTGGTCCATGAAAATGAGCCAATTCATTTTAACTGAGATGACCAAAATTGTTCAAGTAGATAAGTGCTGGAAAGTTTACATATTATTTCAATAAAGCACATAATTTCTCTGACAGCAAAGGTCCCTCTTAAAACATGACAAACCCTTTCTATCTCACAATCACCATATAATCTATACAAACTTCAACACGTACAACAGCAGTAATAGTTAATGCCGTCAGTAAATTAGACCAAATGTGATGCAGATAAAAATATATCCGAACATTTAATGAAAGGGTTTTAGCTGTTCAGCTGCATGTTGAGTAATTCAGTGTAAAACTCTTTTTTGTGTCTCAGATCTTGCTCACGACCCTCAGCACGTACCATGGTTGTCTGTGTGTTATTCCTGGTGATAGTGGCCTCCATGACCATGGTACTCTACTTCTTACCTGGATGCACGTTCACCAGGGTAAAGAATATTGACTCATTCTGTTCAGATTTTCCTGTTAGCTTGTTTAAACATGGCTGCTTGAGCTGAACATGACTCATTCAACACCATATGTCAACATCTCTGCCAGGTTATTGCTCTTTCTAATATCTCATTGTCCCAGCTAAAATCAACCCTTTTTTTTCCCCACCTACAGGCAGGTTGTCGTAAGCCAAACAAGACTTCTCCCTTAGAGCCCATCTACCCTGTGTCTACAAACGGTGAGCTGTTTCCATGGACACAGTACCGGCTGCCACACAGCATTCATCCTCTGAGCTATGACCTCACCCTGAACCCCAACCTGGACAGTATGACCTTTACAGGCACGGCGGTTATCAGCATGTCAGTGCTTCACAACACCAAAGTGATTGTCCTGCATAGCGCTAACCTTAACATCACCAAAGCCACGTTCAAGGTTTGTGCACTGATGACCCAGAGTAAGTTAAGAGGTATTAGGATGAATTGTTTCTTCAGTGATGTCTACCTGTCTCCGTGAACATTTACTTTTCAGCTTGAAAATAATCGTTTGCTGGACTGAACTTGTTTTTTTTCTGTAGTTATTTGCCAACTGTGAACTCATATTATATCTCCTTCCAGCTGGGAGGTGGAGAAACCAGGGATGTGACTTTACTGGAGTACAAGCCCAGGCAGCAGATAGCTATTAAGTTCTCTGAGGAGCTGAAGGCGGGACAGTCCTGTGTTCTGACCCTGGAGTACTCTGCCAACCTGTCACACACCTATGATGGTTTCTACAACAGCTCGTACAGTGATAAAGATGGAAACAAAAGGTACATCTGACTGCGTTTGGTCTGTCTAACATTATCAGTCTTCACAACTGATCTTTTTGTCTTTCATTCAATTGGAAAACCAGATATAAAGTAAACAGTACCTACTGCTGCCTGTGTTTCTTGGAAAATGCATGTAATGTGCCACTTTTGTACGCTCATGTAGGCGCCTCTCTTATCCTCAGGGTCCTCGCTGCAACCCAGTTCGAGCCACTATCAGCCAGGAAAGCCTTTCCTTGCTTCGATGAACCCTCATTCAAAGCTACTTTCCTGATTAGAATCAGCAGAAAATCCGATTACATGACTCTTTCCAACATGCCCAAGGTAAAAAGACATTAGTTAAGTTCTGGTTAAAGGTTGATCACAATTTCCTAAACGCCCCACACTAACTGTAGCCAAAGTGTTCCTGCTGAAAAAAAGCCCAGCTCCTATTGCAGGCAGAATGGTTTTAAAGAGAGATGAATGAATGAATGAATGAATTTTGCAATACAAGACGTATCAGCCCAGTGTAGATTGTTTGTTCTTACCCTTGCTCTGGACAAAAGGAAGGCCGAAGCACACTTGCCAAATGGTCAGAAAGGCGAGTTTGTTGGATTTTCAAGGACCAAATGTGACAGTAAAGGTAAATGCCCCCTCTGTCATCAAAAGATGACAGTACCAAGTTAAGAAATGACTTAGAGTTATATATGTATGTACAACTTTTTATCCCTTGTGCCCCTGGTGCCTGTTCAAGAAAGCTGATTTATTGCAAACCCTGAGTCTCTCAGCCCTGAAATGAGAAACTCTGGCCTGTCTGTCTCGAAGAGAGGGGAATCAAAACCTGAGAGAGGACGGTTTACTGAAGCTCTGAGTCAGAAACTGTGATCAGTCTCCTACAGAATGAGAAACACAATTTCATTTACTCAGTCACTGATTGAGTCTGTTTCATGTGCGTGTTGATATAAATTGAGCAGTTATCTGAGTAAAAATCTGGGTGTTTTTGTTCGGTCTGTTGGACATTCTAGCCCATATAAGCACTCATGTTAATCTAATCAGCGCCAATCAATCAATTAAACAGGATATTAGTGAGATGATATCATGTGTTTGAAAACAGCACTGTACTGAGGATAAAGTTAATAACCATTGAAGTAACAACTTGGCAATATTTACTTTCATAATTCCACTATGATCATAGTGGTGTTCCACCGTGAGCCAAGTATGCCCACCACCCACCTGTCTGGATTATGTTTTTACATCTCATTTTCGGCTGCTTCCAAGTTCTCTTCACACTCACTAAATTACCCCTAAATGAAAATAAGTATTTGATTTAACACCATCCCACCTGCTTCTTTCTGTGATATTATGAGCATGATGTAATATTAATTAGTGGACTCAATGAAAACTTGGTATTTACTCAGTCATTTTCTCCCACACTGCGTCTTTCTCTTGGGCCCCTACAGCTGTGTTACTCTTTTTCTAAAAATATGTTCATCCTTGCCGGATGTAAGCAGAATTTCTAATCCCACAGGGGTGAAGTAAACTGACCTCTTTTTGTCGCTTGTTGCCATGGTGAGGCGTACCTCTGTAGCTCCATTGATGTTGTCTTTTTATAGTCCTGGTGCATGTGCTGATTACCCAGTGAACCTACTTAACGTTGATGATCGATCACAAATCAGCTGTTCTGAAACCAGAAACTCAAATTTCCCATCTGAGAGTAAATCAGTTCAGGGGTTCAGGGTTTGACTCTGACTTTGTTGGACCTCTTGTCTGAAACAGGCTCTCGACAAAGACCCCAAATGTATGGTGTTTGTAGCCTAGTTTATGGAGACAGCATGTTTTTTGCCCCCGGAGGAAATGCTTAGGGGGTCTTCGTGTGCTCAAAGGATTTTGAATTCAGTAGGTTAGGATGTTTTGAATTTGGTAAAGAGTTGAAGTGCTTGACATCTAGATTTGCATTTTCAAACCACAGCACTGATGTAAACAGATCCTAGACAACATTAGCAACCAGGCAGTGGGATAAAAAAAAACTCCTGATGGTGTGGCAGATCCATTCCTGCCATTTACGTTGATGTATTAGTCACTTGAGGCCTTTTTCATACTCGGACATATGATTGAAGAGTTTCCTCTGGTTGAGATATGAGTGAGACTATTCGATGATCAGGGCAGTTCATGTTGAAGGCCAGTGCTTCCAGGTGAGCAAAGTGTGTGAAAGGAAGCAACTTGTGTTTAGAGATTTGTAAAACTGTGATTCAGAATGTTCCAAAAAAAGGGATTTAGGGTTTTAGTGATTGTGAAAAACTGTAAGAAGGTAAAGAAATGTTTAAATAAGGGAGTCATTCAGTGAAGTTGGCCTGAAAAAGATTGTGTCAGTGGTTACCAGTATTAATTCACCGCAGAGACCACAACAAATGATCTCAGGAAAAATCATTGTTTACAACCTTAGGAGAGGGTTGCCTTGATCAGTAAAATACACAACCTAATTCCCTCCAAATCACTGTCATTTGGATCTGCCTTGTTATATCATTTCATGTCATATGAGTAACTCATGAATCAGTCTTTTTGACTCGTGATTTTGGTCATAACTAAGCACATGCTGGTTTTTAGTTGCATTGTTTTAACACCAAAAGGAGAAGATGATGGTTAGTTGGTAACACGTCTTCATTCTGTGTGTTTTAGGCTAAAACCACACAACTGCCCGATGGCCTGATGCAAGACGAGTTTGAAAGGACCAGTGTGAACATGAGCACCTATCTGGTGGCCTTCATCATCGCTGACTTCTCTCCAAACAGCCAAAATGTCTCAGACACTCTGGTAGGTCAAGAACAGATTAGACTTTTCCTTTATGTTTTTTCATGGTCAGTAAATTTGTCTTGCTTCTGATAAAATGTCAACATACGTATGTGTCTGTCTCTTTAAGGTATCTGTGTACTCTGTGCCAGAGAAGAAGGAGCACACTGAATATGCTCGAGACACAGGAGCTAAACTGCTTGAGTTCTACAATGACTTCTGCGAAATCAACTACCCCCTCAAAAAGCTGGGTGAGCACACACAGGAAGTTGCACCATCTTTGATCCTCTTTGCTGTTTTGTCATCGCTTTCCTCTTTATACACCTGATATAATTCTCTTCTCCAGACTTGGTAGCTATCCCCGACTTCCTGGCAGGAGCTATGGAGAACTGGGGACTCATCACTTTCAGAGAAACCAGCCTGCTGGTGGGCAAACAGTCCTCTCTTCTGGAGAAACAAGTAGTTGCCTCGGTCATAGCACACGAGCTTGCTCACCAGGTATCTGTGTTCAACTGCGTGTTTGTGGAAACAGCAGATAGAGCGAATATGTTGCAGAGAAGTACTCATCTATCATTGATGTTGTTTTGCAGTGGTTTGGAAACCTGGTCACGATGAGCTGGTGGAATGATCTGTGGCTGAATGAAGGCTTCGCCACATACATGCAGTACACGTCACTGCAGACAGTTTTGCCCCAGCTGGAAATTGTAAATTTGGCATTAGGCCTTTAAATAAACATTAACTGAATGGATAAAGCTGTTTGTTTTAATTTGTTCTAAAGCAGTGATTCCTGTCTTTGTTTGCAGGGTAATCTGTTCCTGTCAGTGCGGTTTAGAGCCTTAGACAAAGATGCACTAAACTCCTCCCACCCTGTGTCAACGGAGGTTAATTCCCCAGAACAGGTGGAAGAGATGTTTGACTCTGTCTCTTACGAAAAGGTAAAACTTTATGAATGATTTATAGCTAGATGCATACATATACTGACCTCCACAGCTGTTGAATAATGGAAAAAAAAAACATTTCTACTGTCATTACACTTTGTTGAATGTACAGTCAGTGCTTTGATTTTTGTATCATCCCGGATGCTTTCTTCCTCTGTCTTTCAGGGTGCGTCCATTCTCTTGATGCTGAATGCCTCATTGCCAAGTGAACAGCAGTTCAGGAAAGGCATCATTCAGTACCTGAAACAGTTCAGTGGATTAAACGCAGACACCAATGACCTTTGGAACAGCCTTACAGAGGTGTGTGTTTGGGCTTTTCTTGCTGCAGTGGACACAGGGAATCCGTGGGGTCTAAAAAAGTCTTAAATCGTCTATAATCCAATAATTTGAATTTAAGGCCTTAAAGTGTCTAAAATTCTCCTAAAATCTCATAAAATGTCCTAAATAAAATTTGAAAGGTCTTAAAAATGTATTAACTCTACTTAAAAATGAGTAACATGCCGCATGAATAAAGATTGGTTTGAAGCAATATAAAATGTTCCGATTTCCCTTCATGTCTTTTGTACATTTTTGTGCCAATATGGATGTGAAATGGGTCTTAAATTGTATTCATTATGGTCTTTAAAAAGTCTTAAATTTGACTTGTTGAAACCTGCAGAGACCCTGGGACAGCAGTTGTAGCTTTCTGGCTACATTTAGACTTTACTCTGCAAACTGTCATCCAGTCATTTTGCATTAATATACTTGGCCTGATATCAGTTGCATTTGACTAGCTGTGTTCTCTACTTGATGTGTGCTGCTAGTTTATAGCAATTTTATCTGTTATCCTGTATGACGAATCTTTTTTTTTTAACTCCACATACAGATATTGTATTGTTTGTTTATTTGCGTCTTTTAAATCTGTTGACATCTTAATGTAATAACCCACATGGTGTTGACTGCACAGACTCTGAATTTGTTTTCCTGTCCTCCTGTCCAGGTGGAAGTCTCAACACAGCACCTGAATGTGTCAGAGATGATGAGCTCGTGGACATCACAAAAAGGCTTCCCGTTGGTCACTGTGAGTCGTCAGGGAGATCAGGTGACCTTCACACAGGAGCATTTCCTGCTCACTTCTGACAATGCAACGCATACTTCCAGGTGAGTAAACTGAAACACTCAAACAGACACATACAGATCATGGAAACACTGAATAGCCCTGATTGAGTTTTGCTCTCTCTTTAGCTTGTGGAATATCCCAGTGACATATGTAAATGACAGCTGTAGTTTGGACCCCAACTGTCGACAGGTGTTCTCTCTGAAGACCAAGTCAGGTAAAATGCAAAAAATCTTGCTGAAACATCAAGTCTCTGAGTCTGAGTCTCTAGCTCTGTGAGTTCTCACATCTTGCGTGTGTGTGTGTGTGTTTAAAGGGACTTTAAAGATTCCAGAAAGCGTGAAGTGGCTGAAGCTGAACTACAGAAACACAGGTTTCTACGTCGTCGACTATGGAGAAGAGGGTTGGGCTGCTCTTATGAACGCTTTGTCCAACAATGTCAATGTTCTTACTCCAGACGACCGTGCCTCACTCATCCATAACATCTTTGCCCTCTCTAGGTAAAGCACACAACAAAAACTGATTCCTTTTTACAAACAATCTGCCACAGACTCGTTGAAGGTTAAGGAGAATTGTCAGTCTCTGTATTTATCTTTAAAAAGTTTTCTTCTCCTTCTCCCCACCCCCTTTGTCTGATGCTGAGGACAGACTGGGCCGTGTGTCTTTCCATCAGGTCCGCAACCTGCTGAACTACATGTCCAATGAAACTGAGACGACCCCTGTGTTGGAAGCTTTGTTGCAGCTCAACAAGATCAATCGACTGCTCGACAAAAGAATGGAGCATGGACTCGTGGCACGCATGAATGTACACAAAAACACAGACACTCAAATACAAACTTAGCCACACAAACGTAATGTCAAATTTTTCATTCATATTCTTTTATATCTTTGCACCCCACTAAAGTTTTCACTTACAAAGAGAGTAGTGCTTTGGTTGGTATTTTTGAAATGAACTAAACTACATGGTAGAGTTAAAGGGATATTCTGGTGTAAAATTAAGTTAGGGTCAAACACACCGTAACACCGAGTTAGACACCCCGTTGACAGGTGAATGTCACTAACCCTTACAGCAATACAGAGAGCAATGCGCTCAACCAAAACGCCACTCTATAGCCACAAATAATGCTCAGAACAGCACCTTTTTGTTTGGTGGCTAGTCCTATGGCTGGGACCCTATATGTACTGTTAGGTGCTGTTCTGAGCATTATTTGTGGTTATAGAGTGGTGTTTTGGTTGAGCGCGTTGCTCTCTGTATTGCTGTCTGCGGTCGTTACCAAAGTTGGTATAACTAGAGAAGCAAGCGGTCGGCAACATTCATCTGTCAACGGGGTGTCTAACTCTGTGTTATGATGTGTTTGACCCTGAATTAATTTTACGCCAGAATATCCCTTTAAGCTGTCTGTAGCAGGTGAACGACCGCAGATAGCAATACAGAGAGCCACGCGCTCAACCAAAACGCCACTCTATAGCCACAAATAATACCCAGAACAGCACCTGACTTATCTGAACTACTTTTGATATGTTTTTAAAAAATTATAACTTGAAATTACACATTGTGAAATTGTATCTGCAAAGACATGTTTTTGTTGTATTAGTTTTTTTATTTATCCCTTATACAACCCATTGTTATCAGGGCCCAGGCTCATATCCAAAGTCAATGAAAACTTCATTTAAGCTCTCTTTATGTAGGATTATGTGTTCCCAGTGCAGTAATACATTCACTGATGTGTTTGATAACAAATCCACGGTTTCTTTTTTCTTTTTTTTTGACAGAAATATATCAAAGATCATTTTGGTTCCCTGATGGACAAACAAACGTGGAAAGAAGAGGAGGGCGTGTCCAAACAGGAGCTGCGTGCAGCACTGTTAGAGGCGGCTTGTAATCTTAACCAAGGAAATTGCACTCAGCAAGCCAAAGCCCTGTTCCAGAGTTACGTGGAGTCCAACCTGACATTACGGTGTGTAGAATTCACTAGAGACATTTTTATTATTTCAGCCACAGTGACAGCAGTCTGATCAGGAGACGCAAGCATCTTTATGGTGATTAAATCATCTAAGTATGAAAAAGAAGCAGACGGGACTGTATTATGATGTAGATTAAATCCTCCTCTTGGATGTACGAAGTGGCTCATTAAGCCTTTCTGCTTTGTTTGGTTTTTGGATGAATTTAGAGTTTGTTTATTTCTGTGTTTGTTTGTTTGTGTCTGTATCTTATGATACAAATAAATCAATAAATATAAAGTTAGAAAAAACACCTTGGTATGATGTAGGGGAGCAATTAAATTGCTTTGTGTTTGTTAGCATCCTTTGAGGAGTAGGAAGTCAATACAAATCTGCTGCACTGATTTTTTTTCATTTGCTTGTGTCTTTTTATTTTTGTATAGGATCCCAGGGGATCTCCAGCAAGTTGTGTTCACTGTGGCTGCTCAATCTGACGAAGACTGGGAGACGTTGCTTGACTTGTATGCTCATGTCAACTTTGATGCGGAGAAGCGAAATATGCTAAGAGGCCTGGCATCCACTCAGGACGCACGGCGAATAGTCTGGTAAGTGTTTGTCCCTCCTCCGAGCCAGGATCAAACCTCAGGTCCTCCCCCAACAGTGGCTCTGGTTTGCAGAATCATCAGTGTGACTTGTGGTCATAAGCACAGAAAAAGGTCCTTTGTAAAATTAAAACAAAACAGTTGGTCTTCAGCCTCTGATTCGGTATTGATTTCCCCTTAAGTTCACAAGCACAAGCAATGCCACTGTAACTAAGACCTTGACTACAAACACTTAAAGGTTGAATAGAAGTTTGATATTCTCTGTTAGATATGATTTGAATAAAGACTATATGGTTATATTATTATGTTAATGTTAATAGAAAAATTTATTTTCTCTGCAGGATCCTACAGGCAGGCCTGAGGGGAGACATCATCCAGTCACAGGAGCTACCTCTGGTCATCAACACTGTGTGCAGGGGCTTCACTGGCTATTTGTTTGTGTGGAATTTTATACAAGACAACTGGGACCAACTCATTGAGAAGTAAGTGGCTCTCAGCCTCAACCTCATTGAGACCAAGTCTTAAAGGGATATTCAGGCGTAAAATTAATTTGGGTTCAAACACACTGTAACAGAGAGAGATGAATGTTTCCGACCGCTTGCTTCTCTAGTTATACCAACTTTAGTAACAACCACAGGATAGCAATACACAGTGGTCTGAGGAGCCACACACAAACCTCAACTCTAGCGTCACTCTATAGCCACAAATAATGCTCAGAACAGCACCGAACTTCATCAACAGTACATTTAGGGTCTTAGCCACAGCACTAGCCACCAAACATCTTTTTAACTTTGACTAATTTCTTTAACAAAGAGACTAAACACAACTCATCAACTGTCTTCCAGCAGCCGCTTGTTTGTAGCGAGACCTTGGGTCCATTACGGACTACAGCGGGGTGCCGCAGCTCAAGGAGAAACATTTATGATCATTTCTTTATGGAAATGAAATCAGACCGAGACGCTAAGGCAGAAGAGCTACCGCATCTGCAGTGCAAAATGATTAATATGATGATTATTACTTCAAGGAAATGATAAAGTAATGATCATAAATGTTCTTCCTTGAGCTGCGTCACCCCGCAGCAGTCCGTAATGGACTGGCCAGAGGTCTCACTACAAACAAGCAGGTGCTGAAAGAGAGTAGGTAAGTTATATTTAGTCTCTTTGCCAAAGAAATCAGGCAAAGTTAAAAAGATGTTTGATGGCTAGTGCTGTGGCTAGGACCCTGTATGTACTGTTGATGAAGTTAGGTGCTGTTCTGAGCATTATTTGTGGCTATAGAGTGGCGTTAGAGTTGTTTTTTTTTATGGCTCCTCAGACCGCTGTGTATTGCTATCCTGCAGTCGTTACTAAAGTTGGTAAAACTAGAGAAGCAAGCGGTCAGAAACATTCATCTCTTGAGGGGGTGTCTAACTCAGTGTTATGGTGTGTTTGACCCTGAATTAATTGTACGCCGGAATATCCCTTTAAGATGAACCATTGAAAAACATCTGTGTTCGTCTGTGTTTGTGTCTGTAGGTTTCCTGTGGGCTCCTTTGCTATCCAGTCAATCATCAAATCTGCCACCTCCCAGTTCTCCACACAGGCACACCTTAATCAGGTATAGTACATTTCACATTGTTTACTAATGCTGCAGTGTATGTCAGGGCGGTTTGTAGAGTAGGTACTTTGTGTTTACTGATTAATTCAGCTCTGTTTGTCAGGTCTGATTTGACTAAAAATGTTTCTTAATGTGTATGCCTCATAGGTTGAGAGTTTTTTCTCCAGTCTAAAGGAGCGCGGCTCTCAGATGAGGAGCGTACAGGAAGCTTTGGAAACCATCAGGCTAAACCAGCGCTGGATGGATGAGAACCTGCCCACACTCCAAAACTGGCACTGAAAAAAGGCGCTCCATTTAGTCTCCACCCAACTTCCAGGCAGCCAGGGCATGTCGACAAGACAGCAGCAGCAGGGTTTGCACTATCGTAGGAGTATGTCTGTTAACTTTCTTTTCCCAGGATAGAGTAGGAAGGTCAGATGTCATGCTCTACCAAGGTGGAAAAGATGTTTGGTTTTTTAAGGTTGGACCTGTAAGTTGTGTTCTTAGCTCAGGGTGTCTCTGACAGGAAGAGGTCAGATATGTACATGCACTCCTCACACCTCATGCTTTTGACCAAACCTGCACTCTGCAGCTTTTATCTGGTCGTCAAGTCTGAGTAGACAATCATGCTTCATCCACACTCCCCTCCCTCAGCCTGCTCTGAGTTTCTCAGTCTGTATGAGGTGTTGTGCAAAGGCCACTTTGAATAAAACAAGCGTGAAGAATTTCAACATTAAAGCCCTTGAAAGATTTGTCAGTCACTCCTGAACTCTCTCAGCTGTCAGTCAAATGTAAAAGCAGCTGTCAGATCCCCTAGCCATGAGACATTATCGGTACATGAGAGACAGGATTTTTATGACCTTGTTTTGTTATCTTGTTAAATTCTGTGTGGAAACAAAAGCTGCCCGCTCTTCTGAACTCCAGTTACTCATGCAGCCTGAAGCATTTCTTGTATCTGTCATGGCTGGGCTAGAGGATTGGTTGCTTGATTGATAGCGTAAAATACCAAATCTGTTTTTGCCATCAGTTGAATGTACTGAAAAACAGCTCCACTGTGTGTACAGTAGATGGCGTACTGCACTACAGTGCAGCTTCAAATCAACCATTGTGTCTTAGGAGAAAGCAGGCATTGCACACTGGAGCCAAATAGTCATTTTTCCTTTCTCTAAACCTGGTTGAGCTCTAATCTACAAGATTGATCTGCTTTTCACCTGCAGTGCAGTTGCTGTATAAACTGGTTGTTTCACTCTGTTTGCTTGTAAACTTGTAATTATCATGTAAATAAGCCTAACCCCCAAACTTTCCCATGTGTTTTTCAATGTGTTGTTTGAAATATCTTTTAATATTTAAAGAGTTTATGATTTTTGTATATAGAGTGTAAAGAGGAAATGTAAACAAAGACTTGATTGAGGTCAAATACCTTAACTGTATTTCTTGTTGAAGACCTCCTCAGGGGGTCATCCACTGATGAATGTGTCATTCAAGGGCTAATGTGCATAATGAAGATACAAATTACACAGAGAAACATCTGTATTAGATGTGGCTAATCTGTCCAGATAGCTTTTGTTTATCAGCTGAATAAAATACTGAAAGTCTCCAGTATAAATTGGCAGCATCACTCCTCAGAATGAAGAGAGAGGTATTCATGAAGCATTTAAACATGTCTTGTCCAGTAATGTTCAGAATCTTTGTTTTTACAGAGTTGTAGTTCAGTTTCAGCTCTGTTTGAACTGGCACTTTGAGATCTTCATGAGATTTGAAACTGTTGTTTTTAATAGTGTCATCTAAAGCTTCTTTGTCTTTTGTGTGGAAGAAACTATTTGCTGGATTTTCCAGGTCATTAAAGATACAAAAGCAGCACACAACAGCAGAGTGTTGATACCCCTGGCTTGGTCATACTTTCCTCTGATCAGGGTCCAGGAAATCACACAGGTCATGTGTTTGGTGCAGCTCTGGTGGCTCTTTGTGGTTTTGTCAAAGCAGTGCAAAGAGGGAAGGGATCCAGGAAGGGACAAAAAAAGTAGAAGGGAAAATAAACTATTTGTGGCGTGTATAAGAAGCATGACTATCCACGGCTTCTCCAGGTCAAGAGTCAGACATTGAGTGAGCACCAGACAGAGGATTGTAAACTCCAAACCGGGGGAGAGAAACTGTATTGAAGAGTGTGTAAGACTTAAATGTCATTGCCTTCTACCAGCCCACCAAAGTTTCACAAACGGCGTGAAGAAAATGTTTAACTGGTATTTGCTTTAAATATACTTCCACAACTCACGTCCTGGTCCAATATGACTTACAGCTTTAATGTGAGAACAGGTCCTTTTGTCCAGTTTCTAGTATCACTTCAGTAAAAACTGCTCCATCAATGCTGTGGTACTTTGCTCATCTTATATCAGTGAGAAAATAACTGCGTTATGTGATGGCAGTTGTTGATGTCATTCAGGCACAGGGTCCAGTCAGAGGCGGGTTTGTCATCAGATCGCAGTAAAGTACCACATATGCAGTGAATCCAACCAGATCGTTTTGGCACTGGGATGAAATGCTGCTGATGCTTATGAAACTGTGCTGCTCTTTATGTGAACAAAATATAAATAAAAGTTGTTTTCTGAAGATGTTGAATTTAATTTTTTTCTTCTTTAATTAAAATCCATAAACTTGTATCGGTGTCCTTTTATTAATAATGTAAATGTTGGTCTAAGTCCCGAGCATTACAAAGAATTTGAAATAAAAGGCTTAAACTTGCTCATTTCACGTTTAGAGTGACAAAATCATTATCACTTAAAATTGTCAAATCCATAGATTCCTTGATAACTCAGTGATCTTATTTAATTGAGCATCATCACACAAGAGGATTTAAGAATATATTTTACCTTTTCATTGTGATTTGCAGTAAAGGGGAACAGCAGTGCTTACTATGAAATACTTAATGATGCTTCCTTGTTGTACCAGCAGAGGTCCTTTTAACTCTTCTGAAAACTTTAATACTGGTTTCCTTTTACACTTCAAAATAAAGAGATCCAGTCTGTGGTTCAGATATATTTTACTACGTCGATCTAATTAACTTAATAGTGGTCACTTAAATGTTGAGGATGTTGTAGGAAATTATCAATTTAAAAGTACCTGAATCTATTTGAAAGTCAGTAAAAAGAAATAAATCCTTTTGTCTTGTGATTAAGTGTGTTTTTGTTGTTAAACAGCTGCAGGTTTTTGTGTATTTAAATCAGGCTGACTGTGGAAACTGTTCTTTTTATATTTAATGTGTGTTTTAGAAAATCTGTTTGCCTTAAGGATTTGTTTGGCGGGATGCCACACAGCTGGAAGACATCACAATACCAGTATTTTTACCCCCATACTTTCCTTCTTTTTGGTTAATTAACTCAAGTGCACACAGACAATTAAGGCCTTGTGTCAAATAAAGAAAAAAAAATCTACATCCTTTTCTATTTTCTGATGGAAGCAAGAAAGATGCTCTTTACTGAGTAGTTTATGTTACTTGAACTAGAGAGGCATTTTTGTACGTGTATCTCTTAAACATATACTTTGTCAGAATCCTTAGCACATTATAAGTAACTTACAATTTAAAGCAGAGTAAACAACCATGAGACACACATCAGAGACCCACTGAATAATATGGAGATATTCATCCTTAAAAAACACATATTCACCATACATTATAAACTCTTGTCTTTGATGTTAGAGTGTTGATGTTAATTTTCGATTTCTTTGTGTCTGTCCAATCCCACAAGTAAATATTATTAATTTAGACACATTACAAAAAGATACAACTATGATACCACTATTTCTGTTTTACCAAAGTATTTCTATTACGTGTAATGTGTTCAACTCACTCTCTTTATGTAAAGTAAAAGAGTGAATCTGTTTTTTCTTTGATGGATAATCAAGCAGACAATAAGGAAAAGCATTTATGATTCCATTGTCAAGCTGCATCAACTGTAAACCGAAAGGCCTGGAAAGGCATGCTAACCCAGGTCAATTTCAGCATCATACGATCACAGGATTAACCCTCATTTGACACAAATGCAACATGTGTGCTACGAGTCAACACCTCGTCCATCGCTCAGATGATCTCAGGTTGGCTCCATTCAGTCACAAACTCTGCTGGAAGCCAAACCATCCGAATAATGTACGTCCGTCTGGTGGAGAGAGCAGGCTGATACAATCAGCAGAGCTGGTTATGGTCACAGTAATCTCTCTCAGCAGCTCCTGCTCTGAGGACATCAGATTGATCTGAGTGATCTGTCTGTGAGTGACATGAAACACAACACCTGATCACTGATACACCAAGAACAGTGGGGAAAATGTATGAGGAAGTGCAAGCTTCAGGTTAGCCCTTTGACAAGCTTTGGAAATGACACAAATTATTTAGGGATGTGTGCAAACAAGAGCCATTTGTTGTATGTTTATAGGTTTATAGTGAAGTAATAGTGTGTCTGGTACCGAAACTCACTTGTCTGTGTGCCTTTCTTTTATTAAATTGTGGCTAAGTACTGCAGTATGAATAGAAAACTTGTCATTGTGACCATGGGGCACAGCCTTCATCAACAGGTATGGGGGCTTGTGCATCCCAGGCCTGTGCAAACTGGCGTATTAGTTTTGGCATGCCCCAGGTTTCAATCTAAGAAAGCATTTCATGTGTCAGGGCTGGACAATCTACTGGTGAATCAGCTGTCCAGCAAGTATCTGGCTCCACTACATACTTTGCTCTGGAGATCCTCAGTTCTTGCAACTGCTCCTGGAGGTGGGGTAGGGCTGTACTTTCGGCACAGAGGTCAAAGAGGTGTGTGTATGGTGCACATTTCTATGTGGTTCTTTGGCATACACTTTAGTGATACTCTTGAATGCACACGTGAATGGGTTCTGTTTTAGTTTGGAGCTCTCCTGATGGTGGTGACACCTCATTTGAAGGATACACAGTTGATCTCATGTTATGGGATTGTTGCAGCTCTACCCCCTGGAGCCCCTTACTACATAATAAATATGAAACTAAGTGGAGAGACAGTCTAAAATGGATTGTCTTAAAGCTGAAGGTATTGTCAGCAAATTTTAGTTGCTGGGTCAAATCCTGCCATGTAAAAATGTGAACTTGTTTAAGGTACACAGGGGCTTGTAAGGTTAAGACTTGTGAAGGAAATAAATAGGTCACATTGTGCCACTTGAGAGAAACCAGTACTATCCACCTATGGAATGACGTCTCTCTGTGATCATGCTGTGATTGTTTTAATCTAAATTGGCAAAGTTTTAGTCTTGATCTTGTGACTTGCAAAAGAAAGAATCAAACGAACTGTCTGATAGCGGACTCTCTAGGTGCATGTCCTACATTTAATTATCCCCCCACTGACCCATGTCTAAGTAGCTGCTATGCTCCACAATAACTTTCCTTCCTTTGGCTCATGTATAGAACTGTGTATAAGGTCAACGGTGGGATCTTCATAAAATCTGAGGACACTGTGTGATCTCATTTGAACTGGAACTTCATGTATGTATTTTTTTATGTAATCTTTGCTGTGATCATTCAAACATGTTTGCCATGACAGAACTATGTTCACGTGGCCAGAGGGATTTTAAAAGAAAAAGGAGTTTTGAGGTAACTACTGTATGTAGGACATGACCTATTTTCACAAGTATGCCTACAGAGTACTCCTATAGCTCAGTGTATCAGCATAGCCATCTAAGGTACAGTCAATTTAGGTCGCTGTCCCATGAAAAAAATAAAGATAAGGAACATAGAAAGCTGCATAGGGCTGATTTGATTGGTTTGCTGAATGGTCGCATCATTAGGATTAAATATGGATTCATCTCAGTTTGGCCGCCCCCCAAAAAATAAATAAAATAAAATAAAAATAAACGCACCATTCATAAGATATCAGACACTTTGATAAGTTTGGTAGATTTTGTGCTTCACTCCAGATTACGTTTCTGGATGCTTTTGCTGCAGTGTCCTACAAGGTCATGTGGATGTTCAGGAACCTCTGTCTGTAGCATTGTTCTTAATCTCACATAATGTATCGAAGAGGAAAGGCCTTGAGGCTTCAAAACAAAGAAACATGCCTTCAACATGTCATCTCAATACAACTCAACTGTAGTGGTGCAACAACACTTATGCTTTTGAGGCACAAGATCCAAATTTTTGATGGTTTGACTGAACTGGTCTTCCTTGTTTCTAATTGACCTTTGGAACGACCTTTGAACACGATCAATCATAGCCAAATATGTCAAACATTCTATTTCAATGTCTTCACCGCAACACACCTCATGTGACTCTTCAACAGCATGCTTTTAGGGCATTTGAACTACCTTACTTTTGTTGATACGCTACATAGCATTCCTGGTTTGAGTTCAATCTCAGGAAAACATTGCATTTCTGACATTTTGACCTTCACACACCCTTCGGTTATCGTCTTCATTTATCACAGTGAAGAGGCCAGTGTGCCAAGTTGTCGTAGCGCACATCTATTTGAGGTTTTGGTCATGGGGGTTTAGATGAGTAGCTATCCTCAGCAGTGGTGATGAGCTCAAAGATGGCTGGCCAACTTTGGGTGCTGGCTAGTTGACTTGATTCAAACTGTGGGCAACAGCCAGACAGAAACTTTCAAGAGACATTGGTTTCTGCTTCAGTAGGTCATGGTCCCTTTTGTAGACCAGCCAGGAATTAGTCATGCACATGTCAAGGATGTATCCGGATAGGGGAATATACCATCTCCTTGACTCGGCTGGGGTCTTGTACAGGTGTACCAGCATGTTGGAAAGATCAGTTCCTCCCGTGTGCCTATTGTAGGTAGGGATGAGTGATGGGGATGGGATTGCAGTCTTTGCTCTGGACTCTTTGCTCTACCATTTGACAGACGAAAGAGGCATGATCCCACAGGCATTGCCCAGAAGATTAACTCAATTGTTGTCAAACCATTTTACTGCAGTCACCCCTTCAGCAGACCTGTAATCACAGGCTCCCATCTTCATCAGGTCTGCTAACAATTGAACTATGCCAATGCAATCTGGTCATACAGTGCCAATGTACCTAACACCCAAGGAGTTGTGCAAGCTCTGAATAAGGCCGAAACTTGTGAAAAAGTTATCACAAAAGACAACAGACTGCTGAGGGTGTTGGTTTTGCATAGTGTTGTCACCACTTTGGCTCCCAGAGGCAGCATCTGTTCCTGTTGACTGAGGGAAACAATGAAGAACTGAAGAAACGCCTCCAATGCTGCCGCAAGGATTTTGACCAAGACCAGCCGGACAACTCACATCACCCCAATTCTGTGTTCCCTTCATTGGTTGCCGGTCAAATTTAGGATTAGTTTCAAGGTTCTGTTCTTTGTACACAAAGCTTTGCACGATCTGTATACATCACTGACCTGCTCCACCCCTACATTTCTAGAAGGTCACTCAGGTGACAGGTCCGCTGACCAGTGCTTGCTGGTTGTTCCTCGAGCTCATCTAAAAACTAGAGGTGACCGTGCTTTTGAAGTGGTGGCTCCAACACTATGGAATAATTTACCTGCTAATATGCGTACAGCTGTTTCTCTTGTCACTTTTAAAAAGCTTTTAAAGACTCACTTATTTTAACAGGCCTTTGTCTCTCCCTGTTCTTACTAACGCTCTAATAATGCCATTGTTTGTTATTGTTCTTTGATTTTACTTTGATTTTTATGATTGCATTTGACTTTTATACTGTGAAGCACTTTGTGAATCTTTTCTATAAAAGGTGCTGTATTAAATTTTACTTACATGTAAGTGGAGGGTATCAGGAGACACTGGTGATGAAGCATCTTAAAGAGGGGATGGATTTTGTAAAATCGGTCTGTACTCTCATTGATGTGCTGATTATCACTGAAATGAATATACCTGTGTAACAGCTGGAATCTCTTCCTTGGCATGATGACACCATTTACAGCCACAGTGCTATCTTTTGGATTTCTTTAGCTTTGCATGAGTGTACCAAGTGGTAGAGATGGCGAAATAAGTTTGAGTGAAGGTACTCCTCTTATTGAAATGAAGTGACTCAAAATGAGCTTAACCATTTGGTCGAGCAGGCAGTCAAAGGGTTAAACACCACTGAATGATCGTTTACTTTTGAAGTTGTATTACTCTAAACCATCTAAACAACAAGCTTGCCTGTGATTTTAATCAGTCACCCCACAGTGTCTCAAGAAAAAAACCTGTTTAGTCTAGCCTACTTTCTGCAAATTTGTGTGTTTGTTTGTTGATTTGAGAGTTTGATAGTGTTGTGCATTTTACAAGTGTTACATAATTTTATCTCAATTTTTTTTGTTTTTGTTTTTTTTGTTATGTAATCGTAAGCATAACTGTACTTGGTAGCACTGAACAAATTGGTCATGTTGCGTACACTGGTAGTGTTTAATAGACGTGTTTGGAGGTTTTGCAGTGTTGTGCTATTGGGTTGTAAATGTTATTGGTAAATGTAACTAATATAGCTCTGTGTAATTTTGTTGTGTCATAAAACACGACTGTATTATCAATTTGGTTGCGATAGGGAATTTAATGTTGTAAAATGTGGTATTGTTGCTATGTTTGTAGTGTTGTATATCCAGTGGTATGGTTTCATTTGGTTGTGTTGGAAACTTTGGTAGAGTTGTATTATTTGGTTTTGTAAATTATTGTCAATCATTGTAAATCATTTGGTTTTGTAAAACATCGCAAAATGTGTGTCTGTCGCCATGGCAGCTCCAGAGCATATGCAAGAAATTTTACAAACACAGCCAGAGTTATTGGCTTTTCAAAAAGAGTAAGCAGCTCTCTGAATGGCCAGTCAGTAGCTGTACGTCTACGAAATGACCTTTAATTTCAGTCAACAAATAAAAGGATAATTAACACGGCTATTCTTATCATGACCAAACTTTACTCTTCTTGTTCACTCACTGGGTAGAAAACTTAGATAAGGAAAGATAAGGAATATAGAAAGCTGCATAGGGCTGATTTGATTGGTTTGCTGAACAGTCGCATCATTAAGATTAAATGTGGATTCAACCCAGTTTACCCCCACCCCCCAAAAAAAAATAAAATAAAATAAAAATAAACGCACCATTCATAAGATATCAGACACTTTGATGAGTTTGGTAGATTTTGCGCTTCACTCCAGATTACGTTTCTGGATGCTTTTGCTGCAGTGTCCTACAAGGTCATGTGGATGTTCAGGAACCTCTGTCTGTAGCATTGTTCTTAATCTCACATGATGTATCAAAGAGGAAAGGCCTTGAGGCTTCAAAACAAAGAAACATGCCTTCAACATGTCATCTCAATACAACTCAACTGTGGTGGTGCAACAACACTTATGCTTTTGAGGCACAAGATCCAAATTTTTGATGGTTTGACTGAACTGGTCTTCCTGGTTTCTAATTGACCTTTGGAACGACCTTTGAACACGATCAATCATAGCCAAATATGTCAAACATTCTATTTCCAATCTTTTCACTGCAACACACCTCACGTGACTCTTCAACAGCATGCTTTTAGAGCATTTGAACATTGCATTTCTGACATTTTGACCTTCACACACCCTTTGGTTATCGTCTTCATTTATCACAGTGAAGAGGCCAGTGTGCCAAGTTGTCGTAGCGCACATCTATTTGTGGTTTTGGTCATGGGGGTTTAGATGAGTAGCTATCCTCAGCAGTGGTGATGAGCTCAAAGATGGCTGGCCAACTTTGGGTGCTGGCTTGTTGACTTGATTCAAACTGTGGGCAACAGCCAGACAGAAACTTTCAAGAGACATTGGTTTCTGCTTCAGTAGGTCATGGTCCCTTTTGTAGACCAGCCAGGAATTAGTCATGCACATGTCAAGGATGTATCCGGATAGGGAAATATACCATCTCCTTGACTTGGCTGGGGTCTTGTACAGGTGTACCAGCATGTTGGAAAGATCAGTTCCTCCATGTGCCCATTCTAGGCAGGGATGAGTGATGGGGATGGGATTGCAGTCTTTGCTCTGGAGTCTCTGCTCTACCATTTGACAGACGAAAGAGGCATGATCCCACAGGCATTGCCCAGAAGATTAACTCAATTGTTGTCAAACCATTTTACTGCAGTCACCCCTTCAGCAGACCTGTAATCACAGGCTCCCATCTTCATCAGGTCTGCTAACAATTGAACTATGCCAATGCAATCTGGTCGTACAGTGCCAATGTACCTAACACCCAAGGAGTTGTGCAAGCTCTGAATAAGGCCGAAACTTGTGAAAACATTATCACAAAAGACAACGGAATGCTGAGAGTGTTGGTTTTGCATAGCGTTGTCATCACTTTGGCTCCCAGAGGCAGCATCTGTTTCTGTTGACTGAGGGAAACACTGAAGAACTGAAGAAACGCCTCCAATTAGTCCAGAATGCTGCCGCAAGGATTTTGACCAAGACCAGCCGGACAACTCACATCACCCCAATTCTGTGTTCCCTTCACTGGTCAAATTTAGGATTAGTTTCAAGGTTCTGTTCTTTGTACACAAAGCTCTGCACGGTCAGGCCGCTGTATACATCACTGACCTGCTCCACCCCTACATTTCTAGAAGGTCACTCAGGGGACAGGTCTGCTGACCAGTGCTTGCTGGTTGTCCCTCGAGCTCATCTAAAAACTAGAGGTGACCGTGCTTTTGAAGTGGTGGCTCCAACACTATGGAATAATTTACCTGCTAATATGCGTACAGCTGTTTCTCTTGTCACTTTTAAAAAGCTTTTAAAGACTCACTTATTTTAACAGGCCTTTGTCTCTCCCTGTTCTTACTAATGCTCTAATTATGCCATTGTTTGTTATTGTTCTTTGATTTTACTTTGATTTTTATGATTGCATTTGATTTTTATACTGTGAAGCACTTTGTGAATCTTTTCTATAAAAGGTGCTGTATTAAATTTTACTTACATGTAAGTGGAGGGTATCAGGAGACACTGGTGATGAAGCATCTTAAAGAGGGGATGGATTTTGTAAAATCGGTCTGTACTCTCATTGAAGTGCTGATTATCACTGAAATGAATATACCTGTGTAACAGCTGGAATCTCTTCCTTGGCATGATGACACCATTTACAGCCACAGTGCTATCTTTTGGATTTCTTTAGCTTTGCATGAGTGTACCAAGTGGTAGAGATGGCGAAATAAGTTTGAGTGAAGGTACTCCTCTTATTGAAATAAAGTGACTCAAAATGTGCTTAACCATTTGGTCGAGCAAGCAGTTAAAGGGTTAAACACCACCGATTGATCATTTACTTTTGAAGTTGTATTACTCTAAACCATCTAAACAACAAGCTTGCCTGTGATTTTAATCAGTCACCCCACAGTGTCTCAAGAAAAAAACCTGTTTAGTCTAGCCTACTTTCTGCAAATTTGTGTGTTTGTTTGTTGATTTGAGAGTTTGATAGTGTTGTGCATTTTACAAGTGTTACATAATTTTATCTCAATTTTTTTTGTTTTTTTTGTTATGTAATCGTGAGCATAACTGTACTTGGTAGCACTGAACAAATTGGTCATGTTGCGTACACTGGTAGTGTTTAATAGACGTGTTTGGAGGTTTTGCAGTGTTGTGCTATTGGGTTGTCAATGTTATTGGTAAATGTAGCTAATATAGCTCTGTGTAATTTTGTTGTGTCATAAAACATGACTGTATTGTCAAATTTGGTTGCGATAGGGAATTTGATGTTGTAAAATGTGGTATTGTTGCTATGTTTGTAGGGTTGTATATCCGGTGGAATGGTTTCATTTGGTTGTGTTGGAAACTTTGGTAGAGTTGTATTATTTGGTTTTGTAAATTATTGTCAATCATTGTAAATCATTTGGTTTTGTAAAACATCGAAAAATGTGTGTCTGTCGCCATGGCAGCTCCAGAGCATATGCAAGAAATTTTACAAACACAGCCAGAGTTATGGGCTTTTCAAAAAGAGTAAGCAACCCACCAAGAAACGACCTTTAAATTCAGTCAACAAATAAAAGGATAATCAACTCGGCTATTTTTATCATGACAAAACTTTACTCTTCTTGTTCATTCACTGAGTAGAAAACTTGGTTGTCCTTCTTTGCTTGTGCAGAATGTAAGACCTTCTTTTCGGATGGGAATACCAATAGTTATCCTACAATACATATCCTAACTCTGCTCACATGAGCAATTGATCCAAAAGTTTTATTTGATCCAAACGAGTTTTGCTCCCAGCATGTAAAAGCGACTCTTCAAAAAGTCTTACAAAAACATCATCATAAGAGTGTCCTTATGTCCCATTTCCACGTGAAGTGTTCCTCTGTCAGTGTGTTTTTTAATTACAGTAAAATTTCTCTTATTTTGTACAATTTCATTTTCAGGTAAGCTTTATTGAGGTCACTGCTTCTGATGTCTACACACAGGGCTGAAATAAAGGCAAATATAACAAATGTGCATTGACCAAAACCTTTATCGTGTACCTGAGATTTTTTTTTTTCATTTTCACAATAGGCAAATGACCACCTTGTAAATTAGTTATTGGTGCTCAGACAACAACCATAGTCAGGATTTCAATGACCACTTTTTTATATACATTATCTTTCACTAATTTCCTGTTAAACAACAAGCAAGTGCTTTTGGGCAACACTGAATAAACCACCATAGACCAAACTTCTTCCTGGAAATAATTTATTAAAAAATATATACATTCATAATACAAACATATCACACGTCTTCAAATCATCTGGTAAAAAAACAGCAAAAAAGAACTGTCACGATGAGTATCTGTAGTACAAAGTGGAATATAAATCTAAAAGGATTTTTTCAGATATACCTCTTAAATTTAAGTAGTAAAGCCTCTCTCTCTCTCTCTCTCTCTCTCTCTCTCTCTCTCTCTCTCTCTCTTTGCAGATGTGTTTTAAACATAATCAGCTGGGTCACCTTCAGAGTCTATCCTTTCTTTTTCTTCAGTCGCATGGTCCTCCACCTCAGGTGTGTCATCTTCAACATACATCTCATCCCTCTGTCCCTCTAATGCCTCGCTTTCCTGTCCGCCACCTTCCATTCTTTCAAGCTGTAGCCTCAGCTGCTCTTTCTCATTAAGTATCATCTCTTCTTCTATGGCTTTCTGCTGTTCCTCCCTCTCGAGCTTCTCTTTTTCAGCCTTTTCCATTTTCTCCTGCTTCTTCATCTTCCAGAAGAAGACCAGGTTTTTCTCAGGGTAGGTGACTTTGGCCAGAGGCAGCTTGAAGATTCTGTTAGTTCCTGTGGTTAGGAGGAGGAAAGTGAGCGCAGATAGGCAGAACGGCCATGTGCAGGCTGGTAGACCAAACTGTGGAGAGAAAATAAAAAAGGAAGTCAATATGTTAACCTTAGGCTGACATGTAAAGAAGAGTTAGAGAATATATGTACTTACCCTGGACATGATATTTGCGATGGCTGAGCCAAGGTATGCACAGAAGAAGGCTACAGACGAGGGGAGGAGAGATAATGTGAGATGATGCTGTGGTGTACATCATGGTCAGAGATCGTATCTGGGTGCTCTCTCTCTTTTTACACAATTTTGCATGTCATTTGATTCTATCTAGATATCTTAAATGTGATGTAACTGAAATACATAGATGTGCGATTATTTGATGGTCTACTCACCACACGTCATGGCGAGCAGGTGCACCTGCCAGGTGAGAGCATAGAACATTCCTCCGATGGCGATGCAGGCTAACACACAGTTGTATCCCCACAGGCCAAAGTAAATGTCTCCAAAAGGAGCTGCCAGAGCCAAACCTGTAAAAAAAGTTGGGTGTTGGGACATTTTAAACATAACTTGAATGTGGTCTGAAAGCATGAAAGGAAGCAACACAAAGTAGTGCTTACATGACAATTTTACAGCAAAGGTCTGTTATTGACGCCTCTTAAAACAGATGCAAGTGTAGGTACTGTTAGGTCAACTCACCAGAAACCATGCCCACTGCAGATCCCAGGACAGCATGAGCACAGGTGATGGGGGAGGAGATGAAGAGTGAGATGATGAATATTCCTCCTGTCCAAGGATTGTCACAGCCGTAGACCTGTCCTACTCCCACAGGCACTGACATGAATAGCTGCGGAAGGTACAAGCGGGAAGGTTACATAACTGCAGAGGCACAAATATATGCTTTACGCTCCACAGGTTTTTCAGCTTGTTTCCTCACTCTCCTCTGTAATGTCAAGAAACTCAAAGACTGTCATCTGCCCCACCCCCCTATTAGCTCAAATGCACCTGTCAACGACTTTCACTTGGCCTAAGGCTAACCATGCCGATGCTAACTATTGCCATTTAAAATACAGGATAAGTGCACAGGGCTTTCATATTGAATACCAAGTTGTTCTTCAACACATTCCCATCTGGAAATCTTGGTATTTGACATTTTCTAGCATTAATAAATTTAAGCTACCTCTTACGTCTGTATTGCATAATGACTCAGTGTTATCAGAGCAGAGCATCTGCAGCATACCAGCCCTGAGAGACGAATGCGGTACTTGCATGTCACTGACCTTGGCCACATCAATCTCAGCCCAGGTAATGTTGGGCAGCTCTGAGCGCGGTTGGATGAGGACCTGAGGGAAGTGGTGGTTGTAGTGTCCAGTAGCAACCATGTGGAGACACACCAGGATGTTGAAGGGCAGGGTGAACACTGGCAGATCCCAGCGACTGTTTATAGATGCCAGGGCACTGGACACAACAGGGCTGAACCACAATGATACAATATCACCAGTTGTATTTATTTCACATTAAAGTATATTTATTTGAAAGTGTCCTTTTATCTCAACTACCCTCATTTCTGCCCAAGCCTTTCAAAGCTCTTGTTACTAAAATTTCTGAACAGGTGACTGTATAATCCTGTTACATTTACTTTACCAAGAGACAATATTTTTAGCTTGATGTCTGGTGGGTTTCAGCATTCTGACTGAGATCAGCGTAGAGAGAGAAATGCCAGGCAGAGAGATGAGAGTTATGAGATTTATGCCCTAATACTAGAAAAATAATATCAGATATGCTTCATATATGGTGCACTTTCTCTCGTCTTCCGACCACTCAAAGCGCTCTTACATCACATGTCACATTCACCCACATATTTCACACCACATTCACACACTGATGGCAGTGACTGTAATGTATAGACCCCATCAGTTTTTGACTATTTCCACTGGGCGCAGCCAACGGGGAAGGTTGAGCTCAAATGTCTTGCCCAAGGACACTTGGGCATATACACAACCCTTGGATCAAACCCCCTAATCTTCTAAGACAACCAACTCTATCACTGAGCCTCAACAGCGTCAGATGTCATAGTATGATCACCACCTTCTAACCCATCAAGCTGACTTGTCTTCTAATAAGAACCCACAGTAACACATTGACTTTGACCTTTTTCTTTCTTACCACATCATGGACATGAAGATGTTGGGTAGAAGGAGCCACCAGTACCAGTTTCCCGCATTGGAGAACACAGCCATCAGCAGACCCACCAGGATACCATTGTAACCATAGAGGCCAGCAGCAATTGCGCCCCTGAGGGAGACACAGATTAAACACACACTCCCTGTTACTGAAAATGAAACGAATGTTCAGCCAAGTCTGCGTGACTGCATGTTGGTTAGTATCAGCAATGAGGTCAAGTATCCAGACTGTACTTTTTTACCTCTTATTTTTATCAGTTTATACAAACCTGTTCTGTTGCAGAATAAGGGCAGATATGGTGGCAAAGAGAGTGCCCACAAAGCCGTTAAGAGCCCACCAGTAGTTCTGCAATACGAGGCCAGCAAAAATGATGAGGCCGCTCAGAGGGTTGTTGACGAACATCACCTGAGCAGCCCCACGCAAAACCCAATCCAGCAGCTGCAGCAAGAAGAACTGTTCTGTGGGACAAGAAGAGTAAACAGACAGTTTGGACATTTCTAGAAGAAAAAGTGTAACAGGTGACAGTGACAATGTCACTTTTGGAAAGATCGCTATCATAGTTTAATCAACACAATCTGCTCTCCTCAGTCTTTGTATCATGCATTCCTGTCCAACCTGTGGCTGCAGCAGTGACACAATGTTACAGATGAACTGCATGATAGTTTATATAACATTTTGTAACTTATTTAAGCTTTTGCGGGCCATCAAACTAAATGATATAAATACACCACATTATATTCGGAATACTTTTCAATATGTCAATATAATTCACTCTGAAACATCAACACCACCAACTATAACTCTAATAATTAGGCACAATTGTCACTTAACCAATCATGTTAAAAAAAATAGAAAAAAGAAAGAAAGAAAAAGAAAATGTAGAGTTTCCTGAAAGTGCAGTCTAAGGCTGAGCTGTTGCGTTGTTTTGCATTACATCACACCGGTGGTCAAACTGTCATAGCTAAGTGGTTGAAATGTTCTTTGTTATCTTACTTTCCATCCATTTTGCAAAAACTTCCATGTCTCCAGAGAAATAGGAGACCCCTTTGAGAAAGCATGTCTTGGCCCTCTGCAGGTTTGACTGTTTTGAGACATTTTTCTCATCCTCCTGGGATTTGTTGCTCTTAAGGTCAGGGTGCGTCATCAGGGGCTGAAGTTCCTGCAGATTTTGATTAAGACCACTAGTTACAGCATAGGAAAACCATACAGCATCCAATTTATTTAGTTTTTCTAATCTTTGAGCACAGACTTACCACAACAGTGGCAGAAGAAGTGGTGAATAGTGAGGCAGAGAGGGAGCTGTCGATATTCTTCTGAATATCCTATATAGAGAGGGAAAAAATCAGCCACAAATAGATAACTGTAATTAATGATTAAATCTGACTTACTAGTTTTACATATTTTATAAAACTGCATATTTTACTATTGTCATTTGTAGAACATCCAATCTAATAAAATACGATTTGCATTCAAAAATAAAGGTTTGTGTTTGGCACCTCTTTAAATTTATCAGTATTGCAAAACTTGAGTTCACCTTAATTTGCACCACTACAGTCAATTTTTACAGATCACTCATCAAATCAATACTTTCAGATAAATGTATAAATTGACCTTAAATTTACTTTCACAGGTTAGGTATTCAACTTGATGAAACTAAAACATTCACTGAGTTTTAAAATCATTGTGCCGTCCTGGTCCAAACTAAAAGTTACAACTGCTCCTACCTTTGCACAGTGTTGTCCAGGCATAAGTCCCAAAATAGGCTCCGGCTGTCAGCTTTCTCTAAAGCTGTATCATGGTGACTTCCAGTGAATGTTCTTTATAGCTTCAGACCACAGCCAAACCCCTCCCTCCCCTCTTTCTGCTGCCATATCTCCTCAAGAATCACTCACACTCCTCTCCAACACTCCCAGCTCCGCCCATCTCTCCAAAATTGTTCAAAATTTTGGCCCCATTGACAATAACATGTCAGATGAAGATGAGGTCAGATGGGGTCAAGCTTCTGTGGGTAGGCTCAAGGGTTTAGTGTACAATGCAAAATGCTGCAGAGCACACAGCTCTTAAGGTGGTGATGCAATCCACTTTTATTTCTCAACCCAGGGGTGAGAGATATCAAAAAGGGGAAATTTACACATCAATATTTTTACATGACAGTAGTAGCATTTCATCACATTCATAGCCTTATATTTTCAGCCAAAGTGAAAGGGAGGCTTCCAGAAAGACAGAACTTGGCCTCCAAGTTACATTTTGGGTCATCAAAAACCATGGTTGACACAAGCAGAAAAAAATGAAGCCTACACAGGAGTTCAGAAATGCTGTTCCTCAAGAGTCAGGCTTGTGCAAAACAACAACTTGCTCAACCAAACACTACATCTGTAAGAAAGTTCCCAGCACACACTACCCTCTACTCAAGACAAGGGGCTCTATTTTCGTGTCCGCCGGTGAGGCAGCGGAGGGTGGCGGACCCCGCGCAGTGGTATTTTCGTCTGGCGGAGCTGGGCGTGATGGCGTGGCGGGGGGGGGTTGTTGACAAAATCTGCTGCCGCAGTGACATTTTTGTGCTTGCCACCGGCGTATAAAGTGCGCTGAAAGCTTGCCGATTCAAACCTGGTCAGCTTTCAGCGCAGGCGAAACGCAGCTGGTCTAGAGGTATTTTGGTAGACCGGGGGCGTATCGGCATACGTCACCGATGCCTCACCGGCAGGTTTCAGGCACATTTCAGTGCAATAAATAATCATTAACAACTAATAATCTAAGTCAGCACATACATTTAGATCTATATCGTTACTTCTATATCGCTGTGATGACGCTTGGCTCAAACAGCGCATCCCCCGGGTGAGCTACGCAATCCTCGTACACCCATAGGCTGTATCAGGTGTCAATCATAGAAAACATGAACCCCCTAATAACTTTTAAAAACGAAGCTTCACAGAAAAAGAGGACTTGAGCACAAACCAGTCTTACTGTAACTACATGTCAACATCACAAGCGGGGGGAGAAAAATTCATGTTCTGTGTAATAAATTTCTAAAGTTTGTCTACAGCCCCATAAACTTTGCTGGTGGAGGCGGGATTTATGACCTATACTGCAGCCCACCAACAGAGGATGCTGTTCTCAGAGTGGCTTCACCCAGCAAGGAGGCAGACTCTGTCAATTCTTTATACAGTCTATGGTCAATAAAGGTCTCGGCTGTGTTAAACCCACTCCACGCCCTTTCTCCTCCCTCCCTACGACTAACGCCGCTGGGAGGAGCTGAGTTAGGGAGGGGGGATACTTACGCCGGGCTGCGCTGCTCACCAAAATACCATAATGTACTTGGGAACGCCTTTTCGGCACAGTAGACCTGACTTAATCTGTCCCTGTGCCACGTTGCCGGCGAAACACGAAAATAGAGCCCAAGGAATCCCCATAAGATCCTATCTGAAAATGCTCATCATGTAGTGAAATGAGAGGTATTTACAGCCTTGCCAAAAACACAGTTGTAGGTGAGTAATTCTTATTCCTATTCTATTTATACACCTTGAACAGGGATTTTTTTTTGTTAAAAAGATCCATTTGGCTCATCCTTCAGCTTCAACACCTCTCTTCATCCATATTTTACACTATTTTATTCATTTCATGAAAAAATTTCTCTTGTAGTACAGTTAACAAACTGTGTAAATCCATCATCATCATTATTATTATTATTATTATTATTATTATTATTTGTATTCGTATCTGTATTCGTATTTGTATTATTATAATTCGTAGTAGTAGTAGTAGTAGTAGTAGAAGTAGTCGTATCTTCATTGTTTTAATTTTTATTTATTCCTTTTTTGGATTTGTTTTTTTTTTTTTTCTTTTGCCCATCTAAATTGCCCAGTTAGTATTTTTTATTTTTTTATTTAACCGGGTAAGAAAAACCCATTGAGATCGAGATCTCTTTAACAAAGGTGACCTGGCCAAGAGGTCAGCAGCGCACGTCACAATAATAATAAGTTAAAACAAACGAACTTCTGAAAGTGCATAGGAAATTTCCTGATAAAGTGATATAGTGCAGGAGAAGAAATGACTTCCAGAAACATAATTAAAAACGCAAGCACTGAACTGAACTCTTTTTTGCCCAGTTCAATCAATCAATCAATCAAACATTTAGTCCTGACTCGTGGAACAATCAAATGGACAGTATTGTTTGAGCGTAGGATGTAGTGGCTTTCAGGTCTTTGAAGAGGAGCACATAAATAAGAAGCTGAGCCAAGACGAACCTTATAAACCAGTAATAAACCTCAGCGCACAGTAATAAACAGTAGTCAAGGACTGTCGGCATATGGCTGAAGCAGTCATATATAAAACATCACCATAATCCACCAATGAAAGAAATGTTGCAGATACTAGATGTGTTTGTGCCGGTTAATATTTTAAAACCATCATCTAACTTACGGTTCAAGGTTAAGGTAAACATTATTTTGAAGGGCACTATGTTTTGCAGCCAGCAGTAAAAATCATAATAACAATAAACGCACTCACCCATTCAAAGACAAAAGAAAAGAGCAGACTCTCGGGGAAATGAAAGTCAAACAACAGCTACAACTAGTAAAGAGAAATGTTGGCAGCAGCTGGGGCAAATACAATCTTTTTTGTCTCTTAGTCCCGAATTGTGGCAGACTGGACCAGGTTATACTCAGATGGCTATAATCATCCAGGATCGACTACATATTCCTTAGTATCCTGTCGCTGTACAGCTGACCCAGAGGGGAACAAATTTATACAATGCTTTGCAGTTTATTCTGACTCCTTGTACAAAGTGAATCATTACAGTTTTATCACTGCAAAAGTAAAAATATAAACAATAAAACGTGAGCAAAACAATCCCATAAAAGTGCTATCAACATCAAAGATCCAGTGCTTTCTTATGAAGTGACCCACCACTGACCTCAGTTTATTTAAATCAAAGTTAAAGACGCACCTTTTTAGACTTGCTTTTAACTCTGACTAGGTAGTCCTGTACTTATAGGTTTTTAGCACTTCTACATACTATTTTATTGTATTATTTTATTTTCATATTCATTTTTATTATTTCATCGTTCTTGTATTATTCTATTCTATTGTATTATTTTATAATGGTATTTTTTCTTGTGTTATTTTATTGCTTTTATGTAAAGCACTTTGGGTACCATTTGGGATATTGTAAAGTGCTATATAAATAAAATTTGATTGATTGATTGATTGAAGTGTTATCATACTCTAAACAATGGCCTTTAACTTGAGGACAGGAGATGCTTTGAGATGCAGAAATGTCAACAGTTACATTATTCAAACTTCATAAGTATTCTTTTTAGTCAAGGCCTGCAAAAGTCAGAGCACAACATACTGAAGATTGACCCCAAAATTTAGGGCTAGCATTTGCGTGCCACATTGCTTTTATTTTGCTGCGAAGTTATCCTTCTAAAAAAAGAGGCCTTTTTTGCATTAAAATGTATAAGATTAGTCTTATTTGTAGAATAAATCCAATTTAACTTGAGGGGGACAGAGCCTTCTTCGCTGTTGCCCCCACCCTCTGGAATTCACTTCCAAAACCCATCTCAGACTGTAGAGACCCCCATACCTTTAAACCACCCCTAAAAACACATCTTTTTAAATTGTCTTTTAACCTGCGAACTGTTCTTTTATTGTCTCTTCATATTTTGTCTTTTTTAACCTTTTACATCGTTAGTCTTATTACTCCACAATTTTCTGTATTTTAAATTGCTTTTTTTGTGTGTGTCTTTGAGCACCTGTAAAAGCGTGTTATAAATAAAATTTATTATTATCATCATTATTATTATTATTAATGCAATATTTACTTGTGATTTATTACAAAAATGTGACGAAAGGAAACATATCAGCCACAACTTTAATATCAGGCTAAAGTGGGTCATAAATAGGTTTTAAAATCTAGTTCATATTTTTTTATGGTTTGGTAAAGAAAGAAAGTAGGTTAACCTTGAATAAATGTTGATATTGGAATTATGTTTTAATCTACACACACACACACACCTTCAAAATGTCGGCAGTTTTCCTATGAAAGCTCCTGTGACAAACTCTTGGTCCGTGAAAATGTTGAGTTTATAAATATTTACTCTGTTGCACTTTTATGGCGGCTGCATGATATCTCCGTGAAACTATCATAAACCCTACTCACATGGGTACACATACCCACACATGGACGCACAACGGCAGGCAGAAGATTAAATAGTTAAGGGTGTGTTTGTTCCTTTGACATTTATTCAGTCATTAACCACAATTACAGAAAATGATGAGCCAAATTATAGTCTTACTGCAGACATCTAGTTATCTCTGGAGGAAGAGGAAGAGGAGGAGGACCAGAGAGGATTTCTGTAGACTCACTGAAAACAAAATTAAGAAGCAGCAATATATTTGTCTGGACTTTAAAGATGTATACGGCTCAGAAGTAGAGTTGGTTGTCTCTCAATCGAAGGGTCAGAGGTCTGGGATTTGAACCTTGGAGTCATACATTGCAGTCTCTACTCGTGTGTAAATGAAGTGTGAATGGGTGAAAGCCACATGTAATGTAAAAGTGCTGTGAGTGGTCAGGTGGCAAGAGGAGGTACTGTATAAAGATTAATCATTTATCATTTACTGGGCAGGAATTTTGTTCACTGTAGAGTTTTAGCAGCTGGCAGTAAGTCATGAGAGAAAATGGGTCGACTGGGTTCTCTCTCAAGAACTTTGCTTAACTGTGTTCAGAGTTTGTACTCAACTCTACCAT